CCAAACAGGGCAGGCAGTCCTGCAGCCCGTTCGGAAAGAAAAAGAAGTGCAAAGACAAGTACCTGGCCAAACACAGCTCCAGTGAGTGTGGTTTTGCACATGTTGTCACCAACTCTGTGCTGCCAGTTTGTCTAAACACACTAAACTCTCCTCCCGCAGTTTTCGACCAGCTGGACGTGATCTCGTATGAGGAGGTGGTGAGGCTCCCTGCTTTTAAAAGGAAAACTCTTGTGCTCATTGGTAAGCTTTGTTGTCAGAATAAAGGGCCAATTTGCAGGAACGTCATTCCAAAATTTGAAATCTAAAACAAATTTGTACCTAGAACTGCACTTCTTCTTAAAAAGTGATATATTTAAGTTCATTTTCTAAAGGTAATATTTAGAGAATTTTGCTCCTTCCTAGGGGCGCCTGGTGTTGGGAGAAGCCACATCAAAAATTCTCTTTTAACAAAATACCCTGAGAAATTCACTTACCCTGCACCACGTGAGTAGAAAGACTGGTTACTTGTTTTTTTTCTTTTTTTTTGTTTTTGTTTTTGCTTATCTCATGGAGCAGGTTCAGTTTACTCTTTAACACTGAATGTGCGCAGACACCACCAGACCCCAGCGAAAGGACGAGGAGAATGGACAGGAGTATTACTTCATCTTGAACGAAGACATGGCCAATTGCATCACTAAAAACGAGCTGCTGGAGTACGGCAGCTTTCAGGGATTCATGTTCGGAACCAAGTTCGAGACCATCCACAAGATCCACGATCAAGGCAAAATTGCTGTGCTGGACATAGAACCACAGGTCAGCGTTTTGGACTCCTAACTTTTAAGTTCTGACAGATATAACTTGTAAAGATGAGGAATCTCGTTTAAGGAGGTTCCTCATTTCTAGAAGAGAAACTTTTATTTTCTGCTACACTACATGATTATTTTTATTTAATAAAACTGATGATACTCTTCCTAACTACCAGTTTATTGAATGGTCATTCCTCTTCCAGACCCTGAAACTTGTTCGGACTGCAGATTTTGCTCCGCTGGTGGTGTTCATCGCTCCTACCAACACAGCTGCACAGGTGATACATGAAAAAAAAAAACAATAATACAAAACAGTACCTCTAAAAATAATTAAGCTATTTTTTACGTGCTATTTTTTCATCTTTTGTCTCATTACATCCACAAAGTGTATGTTTTTGATGTATTTTGCTTTTGGGTATAGGGGAGCTCTGATTTAGAATTTGTTTTTTGTTTACATTTTTTTTTTTACTATTTTTTTTTTGTATTATTTGACCAGAAAAATCCCATTGAGATCAAAAATTGTTTTTGCAGGAGAGTCCTGGCCAAATATTTTCAGAAAATCTGAGAAAATATCACTTGCATAGTAATTTGAAACACGGTGTGGAAAAAAAGAAGAAAAAAAGATCTGACATTTCTTTTTTTTTTTTTTTTGCAGACTGAAAACCTTCAGATGATCCAGAAAGAGTCAGACGCCATTTTGAGCACATATGGACACTACTTTGACGTGGTTCTTGTCAACAACGACGTAGACGAAAGCGTGAAAGGCGTGGAGCAGGCCATGGAGCAGGCCACCTCCACCCCACAGTGGGTGCCTATATCGTGGGTCTACTGAAAGGGCCCGTCTGGTCGCCCGTTTGATTCAGAGCCGCGTTTGCAAACGTGGTGCAACACATCACTCCTTCCACCAAACCTCTGAGTTAGCGGCGCGTTTGATTTCTTTGCACTGTTGTTTGCACAATAAAGCAATATGTAGAAAAGATAATCTCCTAAGGGTGTTTTAAATATGTTCGGCTTTAGGTGCTGCACACATCTATATGATTGCTGACAGATCATCAAATGCAAAACAGGACCTCAACTGTGAAAGATATAAATGCTTTAAAAGAAACCGAAATTGACACATCACCTCGGATGATCCTCTTTTCTGATCCCATTAGATCGAGCCAGGAAATGAAAATTCCCAGACTTTGCTTGTTCTGTCTGTGTAACTCCATACAATATCCTCAGCACAAAACCTTTGAGTCAACCACTGACAACCTCACAGGGTTTTCCACTGGATCTTCTCCAAACTGTATTCGTTATGGGGACTGTAAAGGCACTTTTTGGCAAAAATAAAAAATAACTCCTATCTCTGTTGCAGTGTTGTTTTTCATCATTTTGTGTTTATCTCTGTAAATCTGCCGAAAATAAATTTAGATAAACCAAAGTGAAGAAAAAAGAAATCCACACATTTTGATTTACATCTCAGTTCATTGTGTCGAATAATGATGGGACGTTTCAAAAAGTCATCTAAAGTTAAAATTCCTCAGAATAGTGTCTACTGCCGTTAATTGCAAACGCAATGGGAAGTCTTCACATTCTATTCTAAAGTAAAACATTCAAAAATGTTTTCTTTATCCCAAATGGGAAGTAAATACAGCAACATTTAATATCCAAATGAGTCATTGTGGATGGTGACTGTTACTTTCTGGCTTTATAGTTTAAAATCAAAGCGGAGCAGAGAGATGTTGAGGATATGATCCTTGCCTACTTCTCTGGAATTTGGAGTTGTAGTTCTGCTTTTGAGATGTAAAAGCAGTACCTGGTTGCCGCACTTGTGTTTCATAAATGTCCAAAAGTAAGAGCAAAAATCCTTCCAACAGCACGACATCCAAACGGGGGGAATAAATGTCCAAACATGCAACATTTCAACATAAACAAAAAAATAAATCCATTTAAGAACAATTGATGAAATTTGCTGACATTTTGTAAAAAGTGAAGAAAATGCATTTTAGGTTTTTTGAAAAAATAAATACCATTTTTTTATGTTCTATTTTATAAATTCACTTCTGTTCCTGCTGCAGTCCGTTTGCGAATCTTCGGGGTTAAAGTTGAGCGTCTCTTGCTGGAGTCGCGCGCCAAATGGCCACGACATTGTGACAGAGATAGTTACCGGGGCAACACAAGTCACCTGTCTTTTCGAGTTACACTTGGTGTCGCAAAGCTGTCCTCTGGTGCCACCACGTGATGAAACCGAGAACTGCAGGTACGACGCGTGCCAAAAGGAGTGCTTTACGTCACAAATAATCAAATAGTTTTTAGTTATCGTCCTTCCTCTCAGGAAGTAAAGCGATTTAGTGTATGGTCATACAGAAGCTATGACGGGGAATGTCGGTGTTGAGTGTGAAATAACAGCCAAATTACATATAACATCATAATGAGCCAAATGAATGGTGAATATACTACTAAGTGGAAATGAAACCATATTTAATTTATAACAACTTGATATTTCTGGAACAGTTAGCACAGATTAAAGGATAAGACATCTATGGTTATAGGAAATTGTTTTTTTTTTTTTTATTTTAAGTAGTTTTAGAAAACTGAAGACACATTCAATTTCCTGTCACCTTTTTTCTTTCCTTTTTTATTCTTTATCCTGGCTGGATATTTGATCAAACTTCTTGGTGCAAAGAATCAATATTATGATCCAGAAGGTGTTAGAAGACCAATAAGAACACTGTAATGAAAAGACCATCCGTCTTCCAGAACCATACAGTTGCCAGCTTGTAAACGGGAAACTGATCAACGTTGGATGCAGGGATTATTATCATTACTATAAAAAATTTTTTTGAATGTAGGCCCTCTTCTTGCCAGCAAAGAATATCATGTGATTTCCCTCCCCGATTGAGTCCTTGAAGGCAAACACAGAGACAAGAACTCCTTCTGTCCCAGAGTTTTGTTGACCGTGTCACATGATCACGCTGTGACACTTCTCCTAGAAACTGAAGGTGGATTAACCCACTGCATTATGGTATTCAGAGTTTTTATATCAGTCTATGTGTAGTTCAGTCCTTGATGATATGAGTCATGTCAATAGGACGCAACTCACATCATCCAAGTGTCTTCAAAGCAACATTTTGAATGGTGCTTTTTTTGGGTGGAAAGATCTTCCAGTAGCAGTCAGTGTTGCAACAAATCTTAAGAGACCCATGACTGAAAATGGTTGCTATGACCATCTTGTGACTGTCATGACATGCTAACAACTCAATTTTCAGCCAAAAAAGATGATATTCCATAGTAATATGTCCTTACTGACCCCATCAGTTGCTGGTAAGCACAGCTAATCCACCTCATTTGCTTTTGCTGCTCTCCATTAAATCTCTGAACATATGGTGAGAAGTCACCGTATGTTTTTGGTTAGTTTTCAAAACCCAAACTAACCAAAAACGTTTTGAATAAAAATATAAACGAAACACATAACTACCGTAGACTTACTATAGATGCTACTACTGTGAGCAGCAGCTCACAAATTCAAAAATTAGTGAATTTGAGTAGAAAAATAAGCAAAGCCGATGTTTTAGAATCAGGCTTAAACCCAAACAATTTCGATGAACCTTACTATTTCCAATAAGGCGAGTGTAGTAAATGTGGACAGAATTATGCCCATAACAAAGTTATGGGCATAATTCTTTGTTGCAGGCAACAAAAGGATTTTTTAGCTTAATGTAAATATCAAAATCAAAATTCTCTCATAATTTTCCTCTGATTATCTCTTCAGTTATTTCTGAAGCCAATACACTGAGCGCCTATCAAGAGAGAGTTCAACAGTGTATATATTTGTGTCATTTTTTTTTATGGCAGTCCGACTCTGGAAGAAGGAACTGTTTGAAAAGTGCTGTTAAAATGAATATACATGATATATTTTCACTTGATATTCATAAATTCATATTTTACCACAATTGTATCAAAGCACAGAAGGATGAGGAAGGAACCAAACTTGAAACACCTGTCATTACATGAATTAAACCTATCCAAAATACAGTGTTAAGTGTAAAGCATCAGTCTGAAAACATAAGCTACCTTACTAATAAGGGACATGTCAGACAATTTGGTCTCAGCATGTCCAGCTTTCATGTTTACTATGAATGATAACAGGCACCCAGTGTGAGCCTCGCCACACCCCCTTTCCAAGAACGCCATTTTGTTGACACACAGTCTTGAAATCAACATTAGCTCCATTTAAGCGGCTTAAAATTCTGTTCTGCAAAAGAACACGTATGGTCTTTGAAGAGCGTCCAAGGAGACACCCAGTTCCTGTACCCGAGGACAAAAAAACACAGCCCCTCTCCGGGGAGGCAAAGCGGTGTGTCTGAAGTGTCGGCCACCCATTTCAACATGAAACTCGCCGCTGCTGACGTCACCGAGCCATCTTCGTGCACCTAATCCAGGCGGCTGTTTATTACACCTTCATTACCACACAGAGACCCGGGCTGTACTGACAGCCTGCAGGTGCCGCATCGTCGCAAACGAGGAGGGGAAAAGCAGAAAGAGAAGCCCTTTGTAGTGTAGGGACACCATTCAGTGCTCCTCCTAGGACGTACAGGCAGGGAAACGCCACAATAACCAACCAGAGGCTGCCAGAGGGTAGAGAGGAGCGCGGAAGGCAATCCACATCCATCTGCCAGCCACTTAGTGCGTGCTAGCATCTCCGCTCCGGATTTCAGCGCAGCTGTCGAGCTAATACAACCAGGAAAATGTAAGTACAACACCCTTGTAATGCTAATTTGAAAATAAAACCCCCGAGTTGATGCAATTTCGCGCTGACTGCTGACAATTGATAAGCTATTTTTGGGGGCATTTTGCGGCGTCCTTTCCGCCGAATCACGAAGCTCTTCTCAACTGTCACGATATTAATAGTCGGAAAGATTGTCGGGTGAATGTAATTTTAGGAGCCGTCTCTGTCTGATAACGTGAGCCGAACGTGAACGCTAACGAATCGGCCTAACCTTGGAGCAGATGGAGGCATCGAGTTTATCTCTCCATCAGGGACATTATTAGCCGTATAATGTTCTCTTTTTAAACGAACGAGGCTGGATGTTTTTTCTTCTCGCTTTCAGTTGGTCGTCCGGTGAATTCTCGCTCGCGCATGTACTCACGCACGCGTATATAATATATATATATATATTTATATTTCTTCCAGTTTGGACTGGTTTGAAATGAAAAGGACACCACTCTATGAAACCACACACGCCGAGTCAATTAAAAATATAGGCTATAATAACGTGTTGTCTAACGTGGACATTTTTATTTTTATATATTCTTTTTAGTGAACACACTCGGGGCTTCGGTTTGGTGTTACCGAACAGCAGGTGACGAATTAAGCTAATTCCTGTAGCAGCAAGGACACAAAGCTCAACAAACCCCGGCGGTTTCAGCCGCGTCAGTCTTTTCGAGCTTTCAGAGCGTCGACAGAAATTGCCGAATATTCCAATATGTTATGATTTCTGGCAGACATGTTGGGCTTGAATTTGCTTTCAGGCCCAGTTCCCGTGATATTTGTAACCTACAGCGGGGGGTGGGGATAGCCTAGCCTCCTACTGTATGTCGTCGATTGTCATGCGAGGGCGGACAGCTACGTACCTGTCCACATTTCTTTTCTGTCGCGATATCTCGGTTAAATAATACTAGCTGAATATATTTATTGATGCGTTTTGTCGTCTGCTGTATCATTTCGATGGATTTTGGTTTTACTTAAAGGGGATAAAAGGCAGCTTAATAGTTCAGTCTGCCAGTCTAAAATGACGTTTAAATTGCCTCGTGCCAGCAACATATCACCCACTCGTGGCATCACGCTGGATAAGTTTTTTTTTTCCCCTGTGAGCTTTCGCTTACATTTTGTGACCTGAATAGAAAACGTCTGAGAATCCACCCATAAGAACGAACCAAAACCCCCGTCGGGGTTATGAGATTTAACAGTTGTAATAGTCACACATGGCCCTATTGTAGCTCCATAGAACGTAATGGTGGACCTGAATGTGTGAGCAAAGTCATGTAACATCAAACAGAAAGAGACAGAGAGGCTCAGATCAGACGGCTGCTGATGTGGGGGATGCTGAGGCGCTGTCCAGTGCTGAAATGTCACTGTCCAGTGCTGAAAATCAAACAGCGTGCTTCTCCAGTCACCTTTTTATTTATTAAACGATTTAAAAAGCATAGCCACAAACAGCATTGATAAAACTGAAGTAGAGGAGAATTATAAAACCACAAATAATTTATTTTTGTTTGTGATGATCACAAACCGTAGTTTATTTGAACTAGTTGTGTTTTGTTATAGGAATTATTTGGCAGCGTATTTGGGTCTTAAGGAGTGATATGGTTTCACTTTGAACTGTGTTTGCATTTGAAGCCTTGCGTAAAATTAATTTTGCTTATATGTAACCAAAATCCTGTATGGACACTGGTATTGGAATTGAGCTTAGGCTATAAATGTACACATGTTTTCCGATTGAAATAAACTACTGGAGAAGCAATAACTCTAACGAAGTAATTGAAAAAAAAAAAAAGAACCAAAAGTATATAAAAAGGGAATAGAATATTTACACAATCAAACTAAATGATAAAACGGTATACAATAATCAAAGGGAAAACTTTTTGAAAAAGATTTCAAAGTTTTTCATTGTTTTTCATTAAAACAAGTGTTTTCAGGAGTTTTGCTAGTAGTTACTTAATAGTTACTAGTTACTTGAAATTGGAAACCATTATTTCTGTCTGTTTGTCACCTTTCTATCTACCTACTTTAAGGATCCATTAGTGTTTCAGCAGCCACAGAGAAAAACTATATTAATAAGCACTGTCTCCAAACAGGTTTGAATATATTTAGCTTTCACATCAAATCTCACATCAGCAGGAACCAGTAGAGTCATGCGAACCCTCACCTTCCCCCTTTGTCTCTTCAGCTGCCTTTGCCAGATCACATTTCCGTCAGCATCCTGTTTTTTGGTTTGTTTTCGGAACCGTGTTATAACAGACACAGCAATCATTTGCTTATCAAGCTGCATCTATATGCTAACTAGGCTTTAGTTTTAGAAATGTAAGAAGACTCCCCTGCACTTAGCATGTTCAGACAGAACACTGCGGTGCCACATAACGGGTGCAGTAAATCCACTCGGCTGGATTTGAAACACAGCTGGCGGTTTTTCACAGGATGCGGAAGCTGACGAGGAACCTCGCCGCTGCACTGACAAGTCTTCCCGGCGTTAGTTGGGAGGTGATGACAGCGTGAACCTCTACACACATTATGCCTTTGTCATGGTTCTCATAGGAGGCACAAAAAACACACACACCCACACACGCACGCACATACACACACACACACCCACAGCAACGGCACATGTTAAAACACGATTTTTAAGTAGTGAATTAGCTCAAATGTATTTGCTGATTTGGACAAATTTCAGTTCTAATGGGACAATTTTAAAAATAAACGTACCTTAGAGTGCTGTGTCTCTGACTGTGGCATTGACCTCAAGCACCAACAGGTCAACTGCTCTAAAGGATTTGTTTGTTGTTAACGGATTAGTAATGTATGAACATAAAGGGTTGACCTTTAAACAGTTATACAAAGTCAACTCTTTAAAACTCCAACCTGTGCAAATAAATAAAAACGAAGTCTATGAACAAAAGTGCACTGATATGGCTTGACACGGCAATGCCAAGTTTTGATTTGAATTTATGTCAAATGTCGATATTTGAAACTAATTTATTCACTGTGAAAGATAAACATGCTCCACGTTTCCTTGATAAAAAGTCTATCCTTTCCCAATTTAAACGTCAAAGCCCATTTGTCAGCTTTTTTGTTAAATTAAAACAGACTGCTTGAAAGAATAGGCAGACTGAAAAAACATTTTCAGTTGCATGAATTCAATGAAAGGGAAAGCAAAGGAACATTTTCCTTGTTTGACTTGTTAGTTACCTTTCAGTGCCCGTTGAGAGAAATCACTGGCTGTGAAGGCTCGGTTGATGGTTTACCTTATTTTGTTTTACATCATTGTAATCCATAATCTTCCATTCTTCGTCATTGAAAAAAATGGATCTGCTTTCCCAACCACTTTGCTGCACAGAACAGGGTGCCAAGTAGCTGTTACATGTTACAATGGGAGGCATTTCCCTTGACGCTCTCACTTTTTGGTGATAAAATGACACTTTCGCTTTAACTTTCTATCAGTCACTGCCGCCATCATCTGAGGACATTCAACAGAATCGGCCAAACGAGCTTCACTTTTGCAAAAGCCTCCAATTGCGCTCTCAGATCCCGATCACGTCAGATCTTCTGTAATGGATGGAGCAACCAATAACTTATAGCAGCTTTTAATTAAGTGAACTAAGCACTCAAAAATTTGATTTGTTCTCATTTTAGTATTTACCAGTATTTGTGCTCCAGCTGTAACAAATCACCGTAAGTAGATTTTGAACTTAAAAGATGTTTTTGATTTATTTCTCGACATTTGTGTTTTTTAACCATCAGGTCAGCCCCAGCAGCCGGAGCCCCTGCGCCAGAGGGAGGAAGTCAGCAACCTCCCAACCTCACCAGCAACCGCCGTCTGCAGCAGACGCAGGCACAGGTGGATGAGGTAAGTTACAACAAAAACAACACAGACGCACACAAAAGAAGAATAGTCAGACCAGGTCAGAGTTGGTTAGTTACATTCACTTGAGTAACCTATTGGGGAAAAAAAAAAACACTTTTCGAAGGATTTCTACTAAGCTGTACTTTGTACTTTCACCTGAGTAACTTAATGATGAAGTGTCACTACTCTTACTACAGTCAAATTTTTTGGATTCTCTAACCAGGGAGTTACTAGACACAGACACTTGTAGTTTTTGTTACAAATTTATATTTATTTGCAAAAATGTAATTTTTATTTATAATTATGTTCTTTACATCAATTATTTTCATTTTGGTTTTTAAAATACCAAATTTCCACAAAATTTGATATTTTTGTTGGTTTGATGACGTAATTTTCACGTTTTTAATGATTGATGTTTTGCTCTACTACTTTAGTCGGGTTTTTAGCAAATACTTTTTTTCCTCTTGAATGATTTCTTGGTCTCTTACTTTAGTACACTTTTTAAGTACCCCACCCACAAGTGGATCAGTTGGACGACATGTATCGTCGTCAGAGGTCCAGTCTGGATCTCGAGTGAAGCTTTGCCGCGTCTTTTTCCTCAGGTGGTGGACATCATGCGCGTAAACGTGGACAAGGTTCTGGAGCGTGATCAGAAGCTGTCAGAGCTGGACGACCGGGCCGATGCCCTGCAGGCTGGAGCCTCTCAGTTTGAGACTAGCGCTGCAAAACTGAAGAATAAATACTGGTGGAAGAATGCCAAGGTGAGCAAACGGCGGTGTGCTTGCTCAGTTAGAATGCACTATTGATGTTGTTAAGTGTGATATTAACAAGATTAGATTATGGCGTGTTGAAAATTGTTCTGCTTTTCTAATTTGTGTTTCTTTCCCTGAAAATCTGCTGACTACAGATGATGATTATCCTGGGTGTGATATGTGTGATTGTCCTCATTGTCATTATTGGTAAGAAGCCTTTTCTTTCCTTCTGTGCATTTGTAGAGACTTTTTAAAATCTTGTAACACTTTGCACCGCTCCGTCTTCCCACAGTGTACTTCAGCACCTAAGAAGAGTCGCACCTACCCCAGTCTGAACCAAGCTTCCTTACGACAGAAGATAAAAAAACAACAACCTCTAATTGATGACAAAATTTACCACAGATGAATTGATTTATTGTATGTACGTATATCTCCGCCCCCAGCTAGCCTCGATATGACACCCCTACACCCTTCAGGGCCCCCCGTGGCTCTCCTCAGCCCCCGTGTTCCTTACTTCCACAGCCTCGCCTCTGGATTCCCTGTCGATATTTGTTCTGTGAGTGTGTGAGCCTGTCTTCTTTCTGAGTACTCTTGGCTTTTCTAACCCTGCCATACTGGGAACCAAACCCCTTCCCTCTACCTTTACTCCCACCCCACCCCCCGTGACGATGCAACAACAGAAACCGGTCCAACAATTGGCGATAATTGTCACATAGCTGATATATAGAGTTCTTTGTAGAGTTTTATTCTGATATATATCTGATATACTGTTTTGTAGGTGTGTGTGCGTGCGTGTGTGTGTGCATTTTGTACTTTTTATTTTTTGTATTAATTTGATGTATGCTTTAGCGTTGACTACTGCCTATTAATGAAAGTGTGCATCTTGCATGTGCTCTACATCCCCCCCTCTTGACTGTTTTGTTGTCCAATTAGCCACCGGGAAAGAAAAAAAATAATAATTTGCCCGCATTTCTCTTGAAGGCAGACTGAAATTCACCCTCTTACCAACACTTTTTCCTTTCTCGCCAAAAAAAAAAAAAAAATTAATGTTTTTGCTTCTTTTTTTTTTTGCTACTGCTAGCGCTCACTCTTTGATGTTAGTGAAATAATGCATGACTTGTGCAACGAATCCTTAGCTTTCATCACTTCCGGCCCGACCCAGCTCTCGTTCCTGTTTTCTGAGAGGGATTCTTAAACAGCGACCGTTTTACGTGTCTTCTGGCGCCGTCTTGTTTCTCAGCAGCATGCTTCCCTCGGACAACTTCAAACTGCCATAGTACGATCAGACCAATGTCTGTAGGTGTCTTTGTTTTTTTTTTTTTTTTTGTTCTTTTTATTATTATTATTTAAACATTACGTAGTGTCTTATTTCGAAAACATTCCTTCATTGCAGTCTAGTGCAGATGCTCTTACTGTAGCACATGTAAGTGTGAGTACCTTAAAAAAAATACAAGCTACGAACCTTGTGTCAGGAATAACGATAGGAGGAACAGTGACAAGGTGTAAAGTTACTCTTTTATGCATAGACCGGATTGTCCTAAGGATTTTTTTTCCTACAATTTTGCTTTAACATTATACTTATGATAAAATGGGTGATTTTGGTTTGGAAATTGATTCTAGCACTGGGAGGGTTAGGGGGGGACAAAATGCTTCTGCTGCAATGGTTTGTGCAGATTTCGAATCCGTTCGAAACCTGCACAAACGTCCGCGTTTTTGACAGTGGCGCCCGGCTGTATAAGCGGACCGCCAGTGCAGCAGAACCTCTCCACGTTAAGAGCACATAAAAAAAAATTAAATGAAAAGTCAAATTAGCTGGATTGCCAGACAAATGAAGCGAGTAACGCCTGAGAAGAAAAGAAGCAGTAACTCAAAAAAAAATAAAATAAAAAAAAATCGTAGCATTCCTAAGACGAGTGTTTTGCTAGCGCTGTGGTTCTGTCTTCAAGTTTCTTCTAGTTAATGCCTTTCTTTTTCTTTTTTTTAAATATAATAGACTCTATTTTTTAATCATAGTATATTTTTGTGTGAAGCAGAAGAAGCAAAGAGGACGCGAAGCTCCTCTTTGCTTCTGTCTGGTGTGTTTTTGTAGTTCAGCTCCGCGTTACACACTGCCAAGCATTAAAGGAAAACAGTTATTTTCCTTATTGCGGTTATTTATTTCATTTGTGCACTCACTGGTTTATTCTTGAAGTACTTTCAAACCACCTTTTTTAAAAAAAAATATTATTATTATTATTATTATTCATGTGTGCATGATGGTGGCTACTTGGTCAGTAAAAGAGCAGGGTAAAGACAAGGCACTCTTCGAGACAAAGAGTTGCACATGTTCCTCAGAGGCGACGCATCAGAACTTCCCTGAAGCTAACTATTTGTGGGGAGGGGAGACTTAAAAGTAACAACATCCAACCACAGAAGAATGTCGCTTCCAAGAATTTCCATGTGGTTTGGAGTGAAATCAAAGATAAAACAGTTGTCGGTTAAATTTGTTAAATTTTTGGTTTTTTTTTTTTTAAGTGCTGTTCTGCTTTCGGAGCTTATTCCAAAGAAAGCCTTTGTGACTCTGCCTCTTTTACTCTCCAGCCAGCTACACGGAGAAACCTGCCACCTTCTCTAACTCCTTCTGTGTATTTGGCGTGTGTGTGTGCATGTATGTATTAGAATAGCTCCGCCTTTGGAATATCCCCCAATCCCTCCCACCGCCATCCCTCCTTCCGTTTATCCCGACGGATTTAGGCCGCTTAACTCTTAGAGTGAGGACATGTCAGTTTTCCTTCGCCTCTGAAGTACATGGGCGACACGAGGCTGCAGATCTGTCAGCCTCAGCAGCAGAAAGTCCCACTTCTTGATGCTCCTTCAAAAAGTTAAACGACCAAAGACCAAATTTCCGAGCTAATGCTGCCAATAATTGTTATAAACAAGTCACTACCCGAGCTGTCCGGCTCAGATTTAAATTCCTACTGTCTTAGGAACATATTAGTTTATCATACACTATCTATGGAGTCAAGTTTGGATTTCTGAGTGTGCCACCCTGACATAATATGCAACTCAAATGCCGAACAGAAACTCCCACCCGACCCCGCCCTTTGCCGTGTGGATCCAGGTCCGATGAGCTTCTTTTAATCTGTACAAAGTTAGTAGACACACAATCTTGTAACTAATTATAGCACAAGTCTTCTTCTCTTTTTTTTTCTGTATGCGTAGTCCTGCCAGGTTTGAAAATGTGTAAACTAAGTATAGATAACAGAAAACTGAGAAATGTTTTCCCAAAAAACAAAAGAAGAAAAACCTGCATTGTTTAGTGTTGTAATATTGGGGTGTGGGGTGTTCTGGGGGGCAGGGGGTCCTATATCCTCAGGTTTAAGTTGTTTGCAGTTTACCAAAATACGTAAGAGGACAAAAAACAAACAAACAAACAAAAAAAAAAAAAACTAGCAAACTGTAAAATTGGATTCCTTTGGCAATATTAAGTGATTTAAGGGTTACAATGTTGTCCTTTTAGCCATTTGTACAGGACATAAACACACAGTGGGCTCTGAGGTGAAATAACATTACTGATTGGGGTAGGATTTGTGTGTTCTCCATAAATCCAACTGTCCAGTTGTGTCCAGTGAGTGCTCAACCGGTTTGGTCACAATGGTGAAAATGAAGTGAGTGCTCTCTCTCTCTATCTGACTTTTCTTTTGTTTGTTTTTATTGCTTTATTGTCCATATGAAAACCAATGTGTGCAAATGCTTTTAACACCGTGGCACTTCTTTCTCTCTCTTTTTGTGTGTGTGTGTGGGTGTGTGTGTGTGCGTGTGCGTGCGTGTGTGTGTGTGTGTGTGTGTAATTCCTTGGTTTCGGCGGGAGTGGAGAACATGATCTTTCGCCAGCCATCGGGAAGGTTCAGTGATCTCAATGCTGCGTTCAGGTCATTTGCAGCGCGTTCGGTGAATGTTGTTGGAAAGCCGGTTTTGAAAGAAAGAAAAAAAAAAAATCCCAGAACGAGCTGAACGCAGCGACAGGAGGGAACCTTACTGAGACATTGAATGTTTCCTGGGTGGCTTTAGATATATGATGTTTTTTTTTTTTTTTTTTGAACCAAATGTTTTTTTTTTTCTTTTTTTTCTGATTGTTTTGCGTTCGTCAAGTAACAACTCCAGATGTCACTGAATTGTTTGTTTGTCAGCACTGATGGACCAAGCGAAAGAAAATGGCGTGAGTAGATGAGAGAAGAAGAAGTATTTTTGTGTGAAGGATTCTACAGTTTACATCAGATCGCTGTTTGTATCGACGAGATATATGATTTTTCTGTTTAAGCCAGTTCATTTGTGAGGGATGGATTCTTTCGTTTTACCTCCTTTAGAGACAGGACCACAGGGACGAAAGCACACATTACCCTTGCTCATCTGGCCTTACAGGAGGGACAGGACCGGAGGATCATGGGCAATGTGCTTGGTGTGATTTTCTTTTCTTTACTCTTTACGCTTTTGTTTAGATTTATTGTGCCGTCCTTTGGTTTGGGATTAGAGTTTAAACAAGGTCGATTCAACGCAAAAGAAGAGGAGACTTAGTTGGGAAAAAGTACATGAAATAATTGTAGTGTAAATCTATCAATGTCTTATTATATTGATGAACATCATGAAATATATGTATATTGGGGAAAAAAAACAGTATCTATGACAAATTGTACTTTTGTGTGTGTTTCATGGTTTCCTGTGCTTTTGTGGGTGTGCAGCAAGGGGATAATGTCATTTGGACTGCCATTCTGGGACCTGTGTGAATAAGCATAAATTTACTACCAATACAGAAATTGACCTTTTCTCTAATTGATCCCTACTATGTGTTAAGTGTGCCAAAACAAATACATGGAGACCTGGAGCCATAAACTGCACATTTCTGCATTCGTCCAGAGTCCTAGTGTACAATGTGTTACCATCACACAACACACATGCACACACAAGACTTAGGATCAGATAAGCAAATGATAACAAAAATGATTGTACTAACATTGGAAAAGATGTTGAGGGAAAACACATTCATTAGCTAAATTACAAAAAAAAACAAACAAAAAACTATTATTGAACACTTATTTTTCTTACCAAATCTGATTAGCTTGTCTCTTTTTTTATTCCACGTGAGAATCATAAGACTCATTTAGCTTTAGGTGTTTAAATAATCTCGTCTAGTTCATGTCAAACGCTGTATTTGCTCAAATAGGTGGCAGGTAAACTTTTATTTGTTCGTGATTTATGATGGCATAAGTTGCTCTGTACAGCAGCAGTGCACACCAACAGTATGCAGGATGCAGTGCAACTGACAGATAGTGCAGCGCGAGGCTTTTATTTTGAAACCCACGTGACGTAGGCCGCTGACGTTCAGACTTCCGCTTCTCATCGTCTCTACGTTTTGTGACCGATTCATTCGACGAAAATATGTACGAGCAGACCGTAGAGATGCCAACAGGCACTTCAAATACAGAATAGGTCCTGTCAAGGACTTTTTTGGTTTGTTATTTTGTTTCTCAAGCTGAGCTGCTGTCACTTCTTCTAGTTGTAGACCACTGTAAATGTAACGTAAACCACTCTCGAGCCTCGTATTACAAAACAAATGAGACTGCTAGTGTATTAGTGTACGTTCCTGTTAATACAAACGGACCAATGGCCAGGCAAGCCGATGCAGTTCCAAGTCTTCACCACCAGGTGTCACCCTGTATACGAAGCATGGCATGGATTGTGGATCCGCTGAAATAACGTGGTGGGTTTAAACAAGCTTCACGTTTCATCCTGTTGTTGAGACGGACAACACCAAAGACATTTAACTTAAGATATCTTAAGAGGTTGCATAAACCATACAGATTTTGTAAGCCTCGATGAGGTACATTTCTGGCAATGTGTTCCACTTTGTATTTTTACACATTTTCAAGTGGGTCGAGGTCACAACCAGAAGGTTTCCATGTTAACTCGCCTCGTTTGTTCCAAAACCAATAATGTTGAATTTGGAGCAGGTAAATCTTTTAATACGGCAGCAACAAGGAGCGTGTGATTTCTCAGAAACTTGCTAACCAAAAATATCACCGAATGTGTACGTATGAAGCTGAAGCTGTATTAATAAGATCAGTAAAAATCCTCAACAAATTCAAATATGCATCTAATGATTGAAGTCAAGTTCTAGGCTCTCCCATTCTTCGGCTCTGGGAAAAGAACACAAACCAAAGCCTAATTAAAAGTTTAGCCTTTAATTGACTGTCTTCCAACAATGCTTCTATTTGCTGTCCTGCCCTGCCACAAACCATAATTGATCATTTCTCTTTCCAGAACTGTAGACGGTAGATGTAAGACAAACCACATCTGGAGAAAGCAGAAGCAAAAACAACTGTCATACAATGACCTCTGTGAAGCCATCAGTCGGTCGGTGTCTCTGAATGGTTTTCGCAGAACCCCATGGGTTTTTTTGGGGGAGGGAGGGGGGTTTAACCCTCATACGCCACAAGTTCCACTCAAACATTATCCATTTATTTTTGCTAGCAAGGATGGGTCATGACAGGGAAGCCTCATTGACTTGAAAACGTGTAGAGTAAAAACAGTTTGCTTGTTACTTCACTGAGACGTGAACATGACCTCACCCCAGGGTTCAAGTGAAAAGCAGCCCCTCTCCTCGCTAATCTGTCTTTCTGCCAGATCGCTTTAGGCTTGTTTTCCATTTCTCTGATAACCAGTCCCCTCCTGCCTCTCCTCCCTTGCCCATGCCTTCACCACAATCATCTGCTCCCCCGCTGGTCTTGTACTCTCACATCCATTCCCTTTGGATTCTCCTGAAGGAATGCTGGTCCCCCCGCTTGAAGGGTTCATCGGGAGTTTGTGTGGGAAACCTACGGTATTGGCTGCCGTCACTGCTCCCCCACATCACAGCAGCAGCTGAGCACACTCCTGCATTCCTGCTGCCGTCGATGCCTATCAAGAGTTTGGGGTCAACACAAACACAGCTGGATAAGAAAATTCTCATTTTCAGCAAAATACAAAATAAATAAATAAAGTTGCAAAAGGTGTCAAGATTTTCCAGTTGGCAGCAATTTGCAAAGAATTTGCCTGGTTTGAAGCTGCTTTGTGTTTCCATCTTATCCCATCTGGTCCGTTGCTTGGTCCAGGCTGTAAAAGAGATTTTTATTAACTATCTTTAAAAATAATATCCCTTGTTACAGGCCTTGCTAATTTAGGTCAGAGGTTTGGCCCATTCCCAAACAGAGTAAGAAAGAATAGCCCACCCCTCTTCTGTGTTATTTTTTGTCTTGGCGGATTGTGGAGCCAAAGGACCCCACGGAGTTCAGGAAACGCAGCTAACCGCTCACTTAGACAATTTCTTTGGATTTTGTGTGGGAGTTATGTTTTTGCCAATGGTTGCAGCGATTGATTTTATGGATAAGTAGCACCCTGGTTCATAAACAAAACATCCCACCTCTGGTCTGCAGTGGAATGCAGATTTACAGCCCTACTTGTTAAGAACCCACGCTCATGGAGCCTCTGGCTCCATCTCTACTTTTTCCACCCTTCTAACAACGTGCCACCCTTCATAAGTGAGTGGCTACACTACTCTTCAAGTTGGCTATAAACCTTCGTTGAAAGTAGTAGTAGAACTAGACATCAACTGCAGCGAAGTGAGAGTCTTTTCTTAGATGTCCACTCCAGACACAGCCCACGGTTTTTTCTGAGAGAGAAACATCTGGCTCCCATTAAAACCTCCTCCTCCACAAGCTGCTAACATCATCCCCCCTCTGCTATTAAGTTTCCTTTCAGAATCTTTACTTATATCTCTATCCATTCTTGAATCCCCCCACCCACCTTTTTATGAGTCCACTCCGCTCTTTCTCCCCGCCTACTCTGACCAAACAGCTTCCTTCTACCTCCTCCCATCTCTCCTCACCTCCTGTGTCCTGTTCCCCTCGTTCGTTGCTGCAGCAGTCTGCTCTGCTTCCTGTGAAAGCTGTGTATCACGATGCGTGTGGACTGCATATGGGGTCTCCTCTTGCTCCTGTCTCTCAGTTTGGAATGGGCCAGGGCTCAGGAGACCAATTACACAAGGTAAGGTTCGGCAGCTGGTTTGAAAAACACTGAAAAGATTTGCAGCCATGTGCAGTTATTTGAATGATTGTGAGTTCATAGATGAAATAAGTGATCCCAGATTTGCTTTTTCAAGTATTTTTGGGGGTTTCATTGATGGATTTTGAGGCACATCGGGAGGCAAGTAGAGTTCGGACTAACTCGGACGCTGACGCCCATGCCCTTGTTGGAGGGGGTCAAATCAAACAAACTTTGGCACTTGCTTTGGAAAACACAGATTTACTCAGCAGCCAGAGTACTTCACGGGGGGTCCGAAGTTTGAGCCAGAGCTGAGCAAAAACATGCTGCTACGCAACATGACTTCATCTATCCCGAGGCATTCTCTTGACCTCCACGGAGCTCTGTCTGTGTGAAATGCAGCTAATTAACAAGGTCATCTCGAGATGTTGGGAATTGTCAGTCGGATGGTCAGTTTTAAAGTAGATGTCGGTTACTTCCTTATGCGCTCACTCTAAAGACTGCTGCTTCCCAAGATGTGGTGGCTGTTGTTTCTGTGTCGCAAGACCGTCCCAGTCGGCCATGAAAACAGCAATAAAACATAAATATGAATCACTGTCTAGCTTTGATTGCAACACATACTTTCCATGGCATCTAATTACACATACCTGAAGATCAAATCACCGAATCAAGTCTCCAGTGGAATCTGGCTGACAAAAACATCACAAATACTAAAGGACACAGTAGACGGGACAGGGATAAAGTCATAAAAAAGCAGGTCTAGGGTGTAAAATAATAGGGGGGATGATTTTCAGCAGAAATAGAGAAACAGAGAAACTTGTCAGAGTTGATGGTGAAATGGATGATGCTTAAAACAGGGCAATCCTGGAAGAAAACCTGCTGGATGCTGCAGAAGACCTGAAACTGTTGAAGGCAGGACAGAGACCCTCAACATACAGCCAAAGTTACAAAGCTTAAGCAGAGCACATGTTAGAATGGCCCCAGTCAAAACTTGATGCTGCTGTCTATCCAATCTGAAGAAGCTGGAGCTAATTTGCAAAGAAGAACGGACAAAAGGTCAAGACTCCACAAGGCCGTTAAAAACGTCATGAAGATTTTGCATGATGCAAGAGTTTAACATTTTTAGCAAACCTTTTTGATTTTCTACAGCATAATTGCACAGAGCGCTTAATTTAACCGATGTCTATGCAAGGTCTTTCAACAGTGAGTAACACCCACACAGAGGATGAAAGCCCTGCCACTGCAGTGAGTCCAAACTCAAGTCCAGACTTGTTTAGTTTGCGCTGTGTCATTCCTCTCTGCCCCATTTCCCACCCACAGCTAGCGCTTGAAATAGAGACGTCCAACAGTCCGAGGCAAAAGATAAGCCATCCCGACTCTTGGCGGATGATCAGTCAGTTGTTTGTTTTGATCGCAAGAAGTAGAACTATGAAATAAAACAGTTTTATTTAGCAGTGGAAACTTCTGATTCAGTGAAAAATGCCTTCAAAAACTATTCCTATACTATTATATATATATATATATATATATATATATATATATATATATATATATATATATATATATATATATATATATATATATATATATATATATATATATACACACGAGAAGAAAAACATGTCTTGGATCACTGGATTGAAACTGTTTTTGTTTTTACTTGGACAAAATTTTAATTGATATCTTCCTATTGTGTTTTTTTTTTCAAGCTATGTTTTACAAAGGTAGAACGTCGAGCTGTTAAATAAAGTGTTTTTTTTTTTTTTATACTTTATTTTTGCCGCTAAATAAAGGAACAACAAATGGTCTTACAGTGTCACTTCGAACAGTTATTAGCAGAAAATACACTTTGGAACGCAAACTACTAAATATTGAATCCACCTTTGGAGATGAAAGGAAATAGGCTAGCATATGATATGCAAATAACACTGGAAAATCTGAATCAGTAAAGTAAATAATCGCAATAGGTTCTAATCGTAAAGTGAAAGGAAAAGATCAATCTTTCCAACATGTTTAATTTGGAAAGTTTGTTAATTTGTTTAATCTGCTAAAACTGTTATTGAGTCTCCAATAAAATAAATGTCATCATGTGTTTAGGGATGTAAGTGTTGCGGGGCTTGATACTCTACATGCATGGCAATCAATCAAAATGAATCTCTTTTTGTTCTACATCAGTTATGGGAAAATTCCCTCCAAACATTCAAAGTTAGAGAATCAGCAATTCCTCAACGATAGAAGACACTGACCTGTTTCTAAAAGAATTTTGAAAACAGTAACTAGATGTGAGTAAATAAGTGTTAACAGAACTCGTCTTGTCTTAAACTTGGATGCTTCTTTTTCTTATGAAGCCAATTGAGACTTTATTGTTGGGGATAAAAACCATGAATACATTTTTAAAAAGTCTCACCGACTCCCTCATTGCAGGCCTGTGTTCCACTGTGGAGGAGACCTGGTTGCTGATTCAGGCTTTGTTGGCAGCGAGGGCTTCCCCAGCTTCTACAAACCCAACAGCAAATGCATCTGGCGCATCACTGTGAGTCACGCTCTGAACACTGGCTCCCTCACTTCCAGCTCCTCTTACTCACAAAATGCTTCCTCTGGTCTCCCAGGTCCCGGAGGGAAACGTGGTCTCGCTCTCCTTCCGCATCTTTGACCTGGAGGCCGACTCCCAGTGCCGCTACGACTATCTGGATATTTACAACGGCCACTCCAACTTGGTGCAAAAACTAGGTCGGTTCTGTGGAACTTTCCGGCCCGGCACTCAGCTATCGACCACAAACACCATGATGCTGGAGATGGTGACTGATGAGGGGACCCAGACCAGAGGGTTCTTGGCTCATTTCAGTGGAACAAAACCTTACGTAAATGGTATGCAGTCACATTTTTTGGAAGGATTGAGGATTCTTTTTTTTTCAACTCTCAGGTTTTATTAAATAATTTTTAAAAATCTAGGCACAGGGTTATTGCAGAAAATAAAAGTTAAGATGAAAACACAGTTTTTAGGAACTGAGCAAAGACACATCAAGCAAAAATGAAGAGTAGCTTTAGAGAAGACTGAAAGACTTCTGAATTTCACTAAACACCTTCTGCCGAAGGTTTAGCATAATGATGGAAGGAGATGCATCAACAACTGACTGCAAACTTTAGTCACATGAAGTAAGCTAGTTTGGCAGAAACCTCCTCAATTCCTCCAGAAAAGCTGTGTTTAACCCAATCTGTCTTTAAGGCAGACATGATTTAAAGACACAGTCAGCCGAGTTCCAGGCCTAACCTACAACTCATGGTCTCAGGGGAGCAGTCCTGTGGGGGGAAGATGACAAAATCCCAGGGAGAGATCAAGACACCCAACTGGCCAGACAGGAAGTACCCACCAGGAACCACCTGCTCCTGGCTCATCACCGTGGAACCCGACAGAGTTAGTGGCACACTCACCCACCGCATGTAATTACCGTTTGAGCGAGCGTGCGTCCGAGGGCAGCTACTCATGTTAAAGGAGAAGAAAATCTTACCAACTTGTGATATTAGCCAGTTTTTCACCAACTGCAACCTGAAATATATTATTTGGCTGCCAGATATGTATGTTCTTAGTATGTCAGCATCATTAACACTGCAAAAAACAAAAAAATCTTGCCACTTATTGTTTTTTTTTCTAGTTTCTCGTACATAACTCATGTTAGAAGTGAAAAGGTCTATCAGTGGAGCTGGAATTTTTTTAAAGATCAAGATTAAAGAATTGTGATCTAACCTAACTCTTATAACTAACTTATCTTGCTGAAAAGTTACTTTCTAAGTTAGTTTAGCATGATTTCAAATGTATCAGAATTTTTGCACTAGAAACCGAAGAGAAAAAGTATTTCTGCAGTGAAATTAGCAAAACACAACACATGGTAGACCATCTGCGAAAATGGGACTTTAGTGTCGAAATGCTAAAACACTGAGAAATATGATTGCATTACCTGGTATTGCTATTAGCATCCTCTTCATTTGGCCTTTCTGTTTGCGTTCCAGGGCAACAACCTGCACATTTCACTACTTTTCTGACACAGTTAAGTCACAGATGCACATTCAGGCATAGATCCTAGATCTGTAGAATATTGAAACCAGCAGAAACCAGAAATCAACCCGTATTCTGTGATAACTCAAGCCATAAGTTTCGCGCTCAGGTCTGAATTTGGTAGGTTGTCTGAACTTAATTTTGTGCTTTTTTTGTTAGACTAAACCATGAAAGCACTTTATACGGGAATTACGTTCTCTCTCACAAAAACACGCGTGTTCACGCTCAGATCCACAGATCACCTCCATGTTTATGTTTGTTTTGTGGTTACAGGTGATCCAGGTGAAGTTTGACAAATTCGTTCTGGAGGCTGACACCTACTGCCGGTTTGACTATGTGGCCTTTTTCAACGGTGGAGAGAGAGACGATTCTCGCCTGATTGGGAAATACTGTGGCGATCAGACACCTCAGTAAGGCGCCACACTTCAGAGCCTGGACTTCGATGCTGTGAACCGTCGCTCCGTTGATCAAAAGCTTTGCTCCGTTTTCCCGTTCAGACCCATCATCACCAGCGGCAACGAGCTGCTGGTCCAGTTTGTGTCTGACCTCAGCGTGACGTCCGATGGATTCTTCGCCTACTACACCAGCGTCCCCCGAGGTTCTGAGGCCCCGATCGACAACTCAAGGCCCCGTGTTGATTCTGGCCCCTCGAGGCGTCCAGTCAAACCCGCTCGACCTGCTCGACCAGCCATCACTGCAAGGGTCCCCGTCCCCACCACCACCGCCGCCCCCAAATATGTGCCACCTCCCCCCGTCTCACCCACAAGGCGAGTGCCAAATCGGAATAGGCCAGGTGAGTGAAGATGTGCGCACACATTTCAGAAGGCTCCCAATACCGGATCTAATTCCTTTTTTTGAATTTCTAGGTCCTCAGAAGCCACTTTGTCCCAGAGTCTGTAAGAGAGCCGGAACCATCAAGACCAGTTTCTGCTCCAGTGAATTTGGTATGCTTTCTGTTGGTGTCATAAGTTATTCCCACTGAATAAAAGTATTCATGATTGAATACATTTACTTGAACTAAAAGTGGATTGTTTTATCTAAGATGATGTGTTTTAAATGAACACTGTCGCTTTTCAGTGATAACTGGAACCATCACCTCTTTGGGCCCTGGACCCCGAGGCAGCGTTGTGATGAACATCTCCCTCATCAAGGCGTACAAGTCAGGGAGACTGACCATCACGCAGGCCGGAGAGACCATGTCGGTGAAGCTGGTGTCGCAGTGCAAGAGGTGTCCTTTGATGCGCAGAGGTACGAACCGCTTGAATTCATTTACACGAACATTCCTCTGCGTTTTTGCCCGAAAAACGACGAGAAATGACGAATCTGGATATTTTGTCTCGTCTGTCCTGTCAGGCGCCAACTACATCATCATGGGTCAGGTGGATGAAGAGGGACGTGGCACCTTGGCGCCCGGTGCCTTCACTGCTCCATACAAAGTTGCACACCACAAACTACTGATGAATATCAACAACCAGCCATGTTAAGACCGGACACGCTCCGACAGTTCAGTGAACTATAAAGACACAATATAACAAAACAGTCAAACTTTATTTTATATACAACCTTAAAGTATATATATATAAATATATATTATTTTGTAAAAACACCCACTGAACCTTTTATTTGTAATGCATATGCATATATTTATAAATAAAGGTTTTAAATCACGTTTAACACTTTTGAGTGCTCGTCCATAATGTGTTTGCTAAAGTCTTTACTTTGTCTCCACCTTGTGGACATCTGGTGTAATGCAATTGTTTTAGTAATACTAAAAAAAAAAAAATTATCATACTCAATATAAACAACATAATCAGCATTGCTTCAAAATAGTTTGTCCTTACGTTGCATCTTATAATTGCTAATGTAACCTGTTAATGATAACCTGTGATTAGCCTTAGCTAATGATGTTAAGAAGTTTAAATTTAGATCAAAAATAGTAATGATGTGGTGCAAATTTGTAAGAAAAAAAAAGCATTCCATGGAGACCTAAATAACCCAGGACTAAACTTTCTTTGACACCACCAGATGTTGACGTTGCAACAAAAGTGAGAAAACGTTTGTTTGGTCAATGTTTTCTCTGTGGTGCGTCAATAAGTCCTGGAAAAAAATAGGAAATTATAAATGACAGAAAATATTTTCAAAATTGTTGCCTTTCCATAATGTCCAGTCATAAAGCTGGCCAGAACTCAAAGTCAAAATAAACAGAAGCCATAAACTATGCTTTTCAAAAAAGATGGTGTTGGGTTAAAAAACAAACAAAAAAATCCAGACTTTCCAAAAATGGAATATTCATAAATCAAAACTTGAATTCACTGATTAAATCGTTTTATTGCCCAGCACTAATTTCACCAAAATGATTGAAATTCTCACCCAGTGTTAGCCTGAGCATTGGCCTCTTCAATCTGCTGCTTTGCTTTAACACCCTGGTGTATTTAGCTATGCACTCTCATTCTGCACAAAACTCAAAGCTCTGCAGATAAATGCTCATTTTATTGTAAAACAGGTATAAAACACTTTCCATAAACAGTATGCTATCACAACAATGACAATACAAAAGAAAAAAAAAAACACAACAATCAATACAAAGGATAAGATATTTTGAGGGTATTTATTCAGACTTTTGCTCACAACTACACTGCCCGTCCATCTTCTACTCCTAAACCCAAACGCTGCCCTTTCCGTCCCTTTCCTTTCCTTCCTTTTGGCCACAGCAGCCTCCCGCGCTGGGCCCTTGGCGCGAGGTGGGCAGGTTCTTGTAGACGGCGCGGCTGTAGGGAATGAAGCACATGCCGAGCTGGAGGTGCCGAGCCAGGCGGCAGTAGGCGGCGAGCGCCAGCACCAGCAGAGGGGTCAGCAGCAGGAAGCCCACCACCAGAAGAGCCACGCAGCTGGTGTCGTCCAGCAGGTCTGAGCAGTACAGGGACGTCCCGTGGGGCTGCACCTGGAGAACGGGTGGAGAGATGAGGAGCAGGTGAAGGCATAAGAAAAAAAAAAAAGTAGATGAGAAATCTGCTCTGGGAATCCGCTGGAACTTTGTTTTTTAGTTTAATTTGACTCTCCATAACGCACCGGGCAGAGAAGCTGGAGCTGCATGCCGCAGCTGCAAGACGTTAAAAAGTTAAGCCCCCAGATCATTCCGGCGAGATCTGAGAAAACAATATCGAATCCCTGGAAAAACTGAAAAAAAAACCCACCTTCTTCTTTTCTGTCAAAACAAGCCATTTGCATGATTTAAGTTCAAATCCTTACTGTGGAGTGGCAGAGGAATCCGAACGTGACCATGACCAGAGCGGGGGTCAGGATGACGCCGAAAATGATGCTGGCCAGCCCGCCGTTGATGAGCGCGATGATGAGGTTCTGCGCGGTCACCAGGACGGAGCAGGCCCAGCAGTCCAGAGACCCCCTCAGCTCCAGGGGGCCGCCGGGGGCCTCGCCGCCACCCAGGGAGTAAGGGGGCGGCACCACGAGCGCTGACCCCGCTCTGGAGGAGGGCCGGCCTTCAGACGTCGTCTTTTCCAGCGTCCCGTTCCGTGACAGACTCATCGTCTCTGCTGTGTGTCCTGCAGGAAAACGGTGTCGCCGCGTCAGCCCGGAAGTGTAAAAACATGATCCATATTGTATTTTATCACAGTTGGAAAGCGGCCTTTTTTTTTTTTTTTTTAAATGTGAGTCCCTGGCAAAATAAATAAATACATAAATAAATAAAGTATTTACACCCTTTGAGTGAGAGCCCACTGCATGATGCTGCAAGGACCATGTTTTGTAGCCGGGATGACGTGTTCCGGGTGATGCGCAGTGTTAGTTTTCCCCCAAAATGTCATTTTGTACCAAAGTGCCTTCTTCCAGATCACAGGGTCTTGAATCTGCAGACTTTTAGATGTCTAAATAATCATCAGTTGGACTCTACAGAATAACAAATTGCGGGACACACAGAAGAGCTAACATTGACTAATATACACACATTTCACTTCTAGAAGAAATTGGTTGCACTGGATGTTAGTTGGAGGTAAAAAAGTGAGAAACTGCAAATATACACCACACTTTTCAGATTGTTATTGTAAGAAATGTGAAATAATTTTATTTTATTTTTTTCACTCTCCAGAAAACAATGCAGCTTGGTCAACTGAAACAACAAGGTGTAAATCTACCTTACACACAAAGTGCAGGCGCTTAGCGAAGCATCCAATCAGGATTGCTTTTTTTTTTTTTATCCTCGACTCTGATTGGCTGAAACGCCAAGACGGAAATAAGGAAGACCGTGCCTGTTAGTTTCTGTCGGGAGTACCAAAACAGCGTGCAGTGCGCACAATAATGCATATTAAGGTATGTTTGGTGTTTCAACTATTAATATAGGCAGTTAAAAGCCCATTTAGAAGAGCTCTGAAGTCTCTGTTGATTTTAGCCAGTCAGGGAGCCCCTAAAGCTAATCCATTCCTTCCTCTTGTGTTGCCCCGATTAAAGTCTCAGTAGTTGATCGTGTCCATTTTATTTTGATAAAAAAAAAAAGTCTCCTCTGGCGGCACACACCCACACGCGCATGCGCGCACACACAAAAGTGCCGACGAAGGGCCCTGGCTATTAAGTAATGGCTTCTTAAATAGTGCGATGAAACGTGCGGAACGTCAACACAGATAAACGGGCTCCGATGACTCCGCCCACCGAAAAAAAAAGAAAAGCCTTCAGGACGAACCGCCGACCCAAGAACGATGAGCCGCCAATCACTGGAGCCCAGTTAACGGGTCACGTTCAGACTTTATGTTTGAGTATTTCTACATGCAGATACAATTTGCACACATTTTATGTCTAAAATAAAATAAAATATACCTAAAAAAAATAAGAGTGAAACAAATTTGAACCATTTTACTGTTTAATTCATTTTAAGCTAAACTGCCTCAGTCTGCTCTCTTCCTTTGGTTTAGTTAAATCAGTCACTTGGGTTTCAGTCTTTGTGTTGACGTGACGCCTGAAGAGCCATAAACCTAAGAAGCTCCAGACGCCATGGCGTTGGCCTTGAGCGTCCACATTTCATCCTACCCAGAAGCCTTCCCTTTTGACGCCGCCGTTCATCTCAGCAACATAAACTCGGACTGCAGAAAGCGTTCCCATCCCCTCTCTACTCACCGTTTCAGAAGCTCAGATGTAGAGAAATTTCAGGAATTTCCTCCTGATCTAGAGCTCCTCTCTGCAGATCTCCAGGATGTTCAACAGACAAAAGTTTGGGTTTCTAATCCCTTGTTCTTTGCTTCTTTCTTTCTTCCTTTTCTTCTCGTATGTTGACCGGTTGCCGGGAAGTGTCTCTGTTCTGCCTCGGACCTGCTGCAGAGTGACTCAGAAACAGGCTCTGAATAGTCGGAGCAAAATGTTTTTTCCCAGCAGCTTCAGCTCTTCCTTCCCTGACATGCTGTTTCCTCAACTCTGCCTCCAGTTTACGATACGATACGAGTCGGCCAGCCTGTATCCTGTGTTGCCTTCAGTGCGAATGCAGCGTGAGACCAGGCTGGGGCTGTACTAATGGACAGCAGCAGGAGCTCAGGTGGGGTGGGTTTGGCAGTGGGGGTGCTGCCGGGGGTCTGTGATAACCCCTGGAACCGGAGGGGGGTGGAGGGAGAAACAGTGTTTGTTTGGACAGACTAGAGACGTCCAGAGTAGGCTGTCCAATACATGACCATTTGCACTCTCCCTGAGCACTTTCTCATTTCCCTCTTGTCAGATACTGATAAGGCTGCTGTGGAAATGCAACAACTGTGCAGGATTTTCACTTTGCTCTTTCGTGCCAGGGCATTAAGGAGTGCACATTTCTGATTGCGGCGATGCAGTGATCAAAGGAATTTGCTGCAACTACATCCTGCTCAGTGGAAAAAAAAAGAAAAAAAAAAAAAGAAGAGGGCAGAGGGCTATATGCCAGACTGGCTTCAGATGTGTTTCACAGGCAGGCATGGCAGAGATTTGGCCCCTGACCCTGTGATGAAAAACAGATCTCAGCTTTCAGCAAATATAAGGAAATGAGGATAGGGGTGGGGATGGGGGGTGGGGGGGGGGGGGGTACTCTGGCTAATTACAAGGGGCTGGAGGGGGGAAGAAAGCCGTCTTGCGACTGATAAGAAATCGCATGGGCTCAGTTCAAAGCGTCGAAGTGGCACGTTTGTTTTTCTCATCTCAATTTAGAGACCAAAGTTTATTTATTCACCACATGGAGAGTTATGTGAAACCCTGGAGAGAATGAGAGTAGGTGCTTTAATGGCACGGAGAGCGACGATCAAAAGGCACCAATACTAAGGCTCCAGGGCCGGGATGTGGGAGCAGTCGACTGTCTGTGTCCCGAGGCCTTCAACAATGCCGCGGTGTGTGCTGTTTGTGCGAGGATGTCAGTCTCTGAGCGAGCTGGTCGAGGAAGAGAAGCCTTCCTGTCCTTGGAGTTGGGATATCCGCCGCTTTGTCCTCACGTTATGTCCACTTTGCAGTGCTGGTGGGTTTGCAGCTTTGGTCAAGTCATGTCCTCTTACGTGGAATTGTGAGACAGGAAGAAGTGACCATCCCCCGCCTGCAGTCTCTGTGGAGGTATAAAGGTTATGGGTGATTGCTGGAACAGTTGCCATTTTAGTTGCCTGGCCTATACTGACTGGCAACTTTAAGGCGGTGCATGTGGAAACCTTTTGCGTCTGCGATTATAATTTTCCATCACATTCTCAGTTCCACTTGGAAAATATTCCTGAACCAAACGGAAAACCTCAAAATAGTGGAAAATTCTCAAACTGTGATAGTTACTGGCCGCTCCAGGGGAGCCACCTAGTGGTCATTGGATGAACAGAACAGAGCAGAAGTACAACACAAACGCATGAAAAAAATGTATTCGTGAAAATTCACTTCAAATGATAATCTAGGATATAATAAAAATAATAATAGTAACAAATAAGACTTCATATCCAAAGATGTTGTTTTCTATTTTCCTAGAATGCTAAACCTTTGAACAGTGGGCTGGTTTGATTACAATAGCAGATAATTACTGTAAGCACATAAATGAATAAATAAGAGAAACTGTTTATTAGGGTTTTTAAATTTTTTTTAATGTCTTTATTAGTTAGAACAGGTTCTAGATAATATTTCACTACTACAGAGTCTGGAGGTGATTTTAAAATGATTTTGTGTTGCGGTTTCCGAGCTAGAAACTACAACAACGATAAGAGGGAGAGATGGGAGGGTGGGGACATTTTTCAGGTGGGCATTTTATGGTTCAAGATTATTTGCTTATGAAATGAAATTTGATCACAGAAACGTGAAGCTAAGAGCACGTTTCATTTTGATGTCTCCACCTAAATGTGCTCCGCTAAACATCCGCGCTTTAATTAACTTTATAGGGCCCTTCATACTAATAAAATGCTGTCATACTCTTCATTACATATCGTATAATTATTGAGAATAATGGGCTATTCTAAGCTGTTCTGACTGCTCCTTCACTTTGCCTGGTTTGCATATTGAAATGCAGAGAGACCCGACTAGAGTTGAGGGACATAATTGTCATGTCGGGATGACATTCGGGTTCAAAAGACATTTTGAACCCGAAAATGAGAGATAAATCAATGTCTTTTTTATTTTCTTTGGAAGGCAATATACATTATTTTAGGGTGTCATCCAATGCCACTGATCTAGATGCACAAGTGCTCAAGAAGTTCTTCTGCGATTTCATTATCTCCACCTGGCGCCACATCGTACTCATTACCATGTTATGCCAGTGTAGACGCAGATTTAGCTAAAGAGGAAAATAAAGTCTAAGGTAGGCAGAGGTACTACATGCTCCTTAAATTGTACAATTTCAGTTTTTTTTTCTAAAATCACAATATGACCCAACCATGAGAATCATTTGTCTTCATGTAACAAAGAGGCATCAACGTTGAAGTGACTCGGTGGAAGAACGCGACCGGCAACAAAAAAGCACGGAGTCGCTGCCGCATGGTTTATCAAAACATTTTTAATTTCTCGAACAACAATACAGTATGTCACAGAAAAAAAATCACAGAGGAATTAAGACAGGTCTGGCTCAGGTTTTCTTCTAAGTGACTTCTTTTGGAAACAGTGAGTGCAGCATAAATCAAACAAGTGAAAATAGAAGGGGCGTAGGGTGGGGTGAGAAAGAAGAGCTTCGTTACATCCTCCAAATAGTACTAATGAGGACAAGACACCAGGAACCTCGACGCCAATAAAAAGTCACATCCCTAAGAGTCTCTGCAAAAGTGTCAAGAGTTAACAACTACAGCTAATGCTTATCATAAAACCACTAACGCCACACGAGATTATGCATTTCATACAATGGAAGAAAGGTACAAAAGAAAAAAAAATCTTGTATTGTTCTCTTAGTTACAGTACAAAGACATCATTCCATTTCTAGTAAACCGTGTTGAAATGGTTCTAAGCACCAGATGGTTGGATTGAGCTGAATCTTATGTCCATACATCAATATATGCTGTTTGATGAGGGGGCACTGAGGCAAGTAGGGGTCTAGCACCATGAATATTAAACTGCCCCCCTGATTGCACATCCCCTATCCACACACTATGACCATACAACACTTTTAAAATACCTTGTAGCCCCTTATCAAGTGAAGTATCCTTTGATATGCAATAAATATATAAGCAAACCACCATTTACAGTATAAATAATGTCACCATTTACAATTTATCATTTTCTCCATTATCCAAAAAAGAGAGAGAGAGAGAGAAAAAAAGAGGAAAAACAAAACAGAATAACTGACAAAAAAAAAAAAAAAGAGGTATAAAATTTTCCCGTTGCAGTAATTTAAACTAGAAGGAAACGGGATACTTCCGGCGCGTGTTTAGAATATACAAACGACAACGAAGGAAAAATGAAACAAATGACAGCAACAAAAGCCAATTTTTTTTTTGTTCTTTTTCTTTTTTTTTTTTTTTTTTTGTCTTTCATTGAGAACAAAATTACACGTGTTCTAATAAACCTGAAGCGGATACAGTATGTACAGAAAATGGTGTGCACAGACCGATCGAGACCAGAGCCGAGCCCTGAAGCTTGCCATTCGTGGGCAAGTCATTGCAATCGTTTTTCCAACAGTGATACCACACCTCTGTTTCAACATAATAGTTCCAGTTCCGTGAGCGAGTCAGTCATCCTATGCTTAGGTCTCTGCAAAAAATATGGACCATTCAAGGCCATGTACAAACACTGTCAGATAGCACCGGGCAAAACTGAGTTTCCTGTGAAAACTCAGTTTTTGCTTAAATATCTCTGAAGGATTGCTGACGTTGCGTTTACATTTTATCGTCATAAAACGAGTAGTGTTTCATCTTGAAGTCACAATGAGCTGCACCGTTTTGACATTTACAGGCTCGTTTTGACGGGGACGTCCTGGGCACGGCCCACTTAAAAACACTGAGCAAGTATGCTGACGTTAGCTTAACACGTCAACAAACTGCAACGCACGAAAACGTCGGCGGCGGGCGGGCGTTGTTGAAGACAGCAAGTGAATGCGTTATGTGATATATTGAGAACCAAACGATGAAGCCGTACAGGTTTTAGGGAACATGTTTTCAGAACACTGTAGTATCTTTTGACTAGATTTGCATTGAAGTCGCTCCGTGGAAACACAAGTTGGGTCAAAAAAAAAATCAGTCACTGCCAAGACAAACTGACTGGAGAAACTGCAATATTGAGTTGGAACTCGCGGTATCAGCAAATGCCTAATCTTACTCAGCAGAAGAAGAAAATCTTAATCTAGAGATTACCAATAGGAGAGTGTCATGTTTCGTTGAAAGAGAAGTACGACTTTGTTTTTACGAATCACTTTAGCTGTCAAAGTTAGAAAAAAGACGAACGTTTCCCCAACGACAGATGTAATTTAGTGGAGCATCTTCCTTTGGTCAAAAATCCTGGATCTGTTAACCACCAGGATGAATTTGGCATCGTCTGCATCTCATTCAGCTGATGCTTGAGGAGAAAAATCGACATCTGTGAACTTATACTGATGGCATGGCAATAATTCTGAAGTCAGAAATTTTGGATCAAAAGAGAGCAATGAATTATTGTTGACTCAATGATCACATCGGTGCAGTTGGAGCCTTTGGCAGTGTGTGGAGCTGAATTACACCGGGACGGCGACGCAGGATCTGTTCATCTGTTTGGCATCACTGGTTTTTGCAGTAGAAGACTATGATTATTTATATCTTTGCGCGTGTTTTTTTTTTATGTTGCATTTCGCTCTTTGCCTCCGTCTATGCACACCACTGTGTCTCCCATAAGTTCATTCAAAATTTACAATTCGGTATTTTCTCTGTTACCTACAAACAATACGATTTCAACAAAAAGAGGTATAAAACCGGGACTCTGAAATTCCCCATTCCAAAAGTAAAAATGACAACTGTACGTCGGTTTTCTCTGCATGTTTTGTACAAATCACGTCAACCATCATCTTTGCTAGAAGTGTTAAAAAGCGGACACGATAAAAAGTTAGTTTTTTTTCCTCCTCCTCAACACAGTCGATTTCCAACTAAGAATGAAACCATATTAGTCCTCTAGTAAACCCGTATTTTAGAGAAACTGATAAAAAAATTTTCAATTTGAGCTAATAATCGCGTAAAAACCTAATTTGTATATGCGTTTTATAAGCTAATTACCTCTAAATACAGTTCACAAGGCCAATGTGGTGTACTTCTAGGCTGGTAACACTTTGTTAAGTATCTAATGAGAATAAATAGGACTGGTATAGCACCTCAAAGAGTTTACAGACAAGAATTACAAATATCAGTTTACCTGAATACCGGAACAAAACAATAAAAAAAACAACAAAAAAAAAAACAGAAACCAAGACCATGCCGAACATGACAATCAGCTACTTCCCCTGCTGGTACAATAGAATCACAGCAAATTCATGGACACATAGAATAACTAGATTGGTGTACAAAAGTTCTACTGAATTTGCATAAAATTACCTGAATCATTACACAGAACCGGCTACTAGACGCTTTTGAATCACAGCAGTGTCCGTTGAACATACATAACCTGATTTTCAGTGGTATCAGTGCTCACATTGTTTTTTTTTTGTTTTGTTTTGTTTTCTTTTTTTTTGTGTGTGTGTGTGTTTTACTTATATTAAATGCTTTTCGTGAGAAGAACCAGTCTAGTCATTCTATTTCAAACCACACGTCCAATCTGCAGCTGGTATGGGGAAGACAGTGAGCTCGAGATGGATTGGCTGAGTATCCATACCTTATTGTGTAATGTAAACAATACTGAGTAAACGTGATTGGCTGATTGAGAGAGCGTTTTGCTGAAGCTGGCCACCTTGGAGACAACTTTTGTGCTGCCGTTAACAGTTTTGGTTATGGCTGAGAGACGTGCGGCCGCGGCGGAGGCCTCACTTTGACGGAGGCGGAGGGGTCTGAGTGGGGAGAGAACAGAGGAAAGACGAGAAGTCAGACGGAAGAACCGAGACAAGAGACTGCTCTGCATGAACTGTATTTGAAACTGCAATGGTACACATTAGTGGGCTTCACAGCTGAATGCACACAAATCTGTATTCACTCTTTATCAGGAAAACGGGAAGAACTGAAATACTTTTTGCTTCAGCTCCTGTCCTCAACGACAGAGATGCTGCGTTCCTCTTCTTACAAGCACAGCGGGTCAAGTTGATGGCAAAAAGCTCAGTTTGATCCCCACTAATCACAGCCCTCGCTCACAGGTATTTTCTGATTCCTTTATAGAAACCAACAGATAATAAGACAGGCTGGTACATGTGCCTTTTCATCCAGAGGGAGCTTGCAGGCTCTGCAAGATTTCACTTCATTACAGGACAGGCTGTTACCAGTGGTCGTCTTGGTGTCTGCAGTCCCAACTGCCTTCAAGTCATTAATGAGCTCGTTTTTGTCTCAGACTTAATTTGAAAGGTCTTCTGTCTTATCTGAGGTGGTGAAAAGCTTTGATGAGAAGAATTGTGTGGGATTTAAAAAATGTAGGAGACGAGTAGAAATTGAGAGAAATTGTAACTAATCAGTGAATGGATGAAAATAATGCAAATTCTTTTTTTTTTTTAGCTTCTAAGAAATATTTTCATCTGGAGTTTTAAAATCCCGTTTCTCACTTTTGGCGGTGTGCCTCGTTGCAGCAATATCTTTATGTAACCGCTAGTAAATTTCCCTGGAGTTTGCTGCAAAGAGGCAAAATGAAAATTGTCGTGTACCGACTCTTGAGAGTTGCCCCAGACAGTCAGTACGCCACCACTGTGGACAATTAGCTTGAACTGGCGCTTTGTGAAAGTCTGATAATCACGGCATCGCTGTCAGCCGAGACTGTTTCAGGCTGGCACTCGGTGCTTTCATTATGTATCCTGAGACATGGCAGGAAACGATGGGAGAGAGATAGGAAAATGACATGGAACAAGACTCCAGTTGGACATTGAAATTGTTACTTGGCCAAAGAAAACACCGATCTGAAAGATCACACTGAAGATTTTGCGTAACGCCGCTGCCAAAACAGAAGACGAGTAAATGAGATTTGTGTTTATATTTGAAGTTTGCAGGCGGGTCAGAACTCACACACAACTGGTAGCTGCAGTTATGAAAGAAACTCTGATGACATGCAAATGTTTAGAACAACATTGTCCCACGGTGGTCCTATCTCCATTTGCCAACTTTTTTGACAGTCGTAATTAAATTTATAAATGACGACAGAAATGTATCGAAATCATGACAGCGATGCTCATCTGCGATCGAACCGAGGTCACGAGGAATTCCCTTATTTCCTGTTCCGACTTATACTGACCAGCATGAAACTGTCGTAGATCTTCATCAGCTCCTCCATCCGATACTGTTCCAGCACCACCACCCCCGCCAGAGAGGAGCTCTTAGCTCGAGCGCAGTCCTCACAGTGCACCACGTAGGTCTTCTTAGTGCTGTTCTCACTGGTTACTAACAGCAGATTAAACACCTCCACCTACACAGGGACGAGAGTGGCAGTGAGGCGTTAATGTCTCAGGTATGACTCCAGATAATTGTTCCCAGACGCTAAAGCTGAAAGCTAGTCAGTGAAGAACCAAGAAAAATGCAGACTTCCACCATAACAAAAATAAATAAAGGCTATTCTGATATATCCTGGTGGTTTATGTGAATAATAAACCAGCAGTTCTACTGCTTGGGGCAACAAAATGACCAATATTGGTCGACTGTTTAGTCAATTGCTAGTTCTAAGCCAAAGCAGACTTGTACCGGCTTAAGACTACTTTCTTTTGCATAAGCTGACTAATTAGTTGATAGTGGAGACTATAGTCGATATATTTGTGATACAGTATTCTGTAAAGCTATCGGCGAGCCAAACCAGTTTTTTTGTTTTGTTTCTTTTTTACATAGTTTGCTGTTTTGTCAGACAGATACGATGATCGGAAACATGGGACATACTTTCTGGCACGATCCTTATAGACTTTATTTTTTGTGTTACTCTTGTGTATTGAATCATTGTTTTCCCAGTGCTTCTGCGTTTCCTTACAGCCTTTCTCGAGTTTTATGTTTAGTTAGTGTCATTCCTGAGCCAAACTTCTCAGTTCATCCTCCCCCCCCCGCCACTTCACTGCCTACTTTCTCCCACAGCTGCAATCTGTTAGTAAATCCTCCCCTGTTTTGCATTCCAGTGATCAACCTCCCCCCGAATTTAAGCTTCACTGTTCAGCTAAACCTTTGCCATCCTTCATTTCATTGCCACTGGTTGTTGCCATTCCCTTTGCATGACTTGATTTCTTTACATCACTTTCCTCCTGTGTTTGCTGGTTATATTGTACTTCCATATATCATGATTTTCTGAATTTGGGCTTTGTTAGTTCTCATAACTTGATAAGTTTCACACAGGAACCCATCCTATGCAACTAATCAGCAGTTACAGAGTAGCTTGAGTTGTCTAATGCAAACATGACGACGCAAATGCTCATTAAAAAGCATTTGCGTCGATCCAATGACATTTTTGAGATTAGCATTGCTTTAGGACTGTTGGTTGTGGACGGTCTGCCTCCAAGAGAGAGAGAGAGAGAAAAAATGCATTTATACAAACCGAAGATGCCAAAAACTGACCTTTTTGCCAGAAACATCACTTCAAAGACCTTGAGCTTTCCCTTCACAAGAAACAACTACGACAGGGACTCACATCACAATCGTTGCAGTAGTAGGCGGGCTCATCCTTCACACGGCTCTGATAAAAGATTTTCTTTCCCGCAGCCACCAGCTGGTCTCTCAGAATCTGGATGTGCTTCATAGACTGCATGAGGCAGTGTCTGAGCGAGAGAGAAGGAGCGGACGATGAAAACACGCTCACCCGCCTCCGGACAGATTCACAGCGGCAAACATTTTACTTGATCATCTTGTAGGTGTCCTTGTCCGTGACCTTGAGGGTACGAGCCACGTTCCACGAAACGTGGATCATGGGAACGATCGACTTCACTTTCTTCACCTCATTCCACTCAAAGCGCTCCAGAGCGAGCTGATACTGGTATGCTGCAAAGACAAAAACAAAAACATATATAAGTTAACTGCATCATCAAGTTTTGCAAATCCTTCCTTTTAAAAAAAAATAAAAATGAAATAATACCATTGAGCGGTCCCACGTTCCAGGCTATGTTGTTGCACCAGCCCACGGCCTGAACCCAGTGAACGGTCCCGGCGTTGATCCACACCAGATCTCCTGGTCTCTGGATGAAGCGGTACACAGGGATGTTGGAGCTGTAGAGATCCTCCAGCACCGGCCACCAGGACCCCGTGAGATAGTCGACTCCGTGCCTGTGGAAAGAAGTCAACAGGACAGAAAATTAGACTTCTGACAGTGTCGATGAATCTGCGGATCGAATTTTATACTCACTTGTCGCAGAATTTGTTTATGGCGTCCCAGTAGTGTTCGTGTACTGCGAACCACTCACAATCTCCAGGTCCGATGTTAATGTTGACGGAGCAGAAGTTGTTGTTCTCTTGATGCCCTGCCGAAAAGTAAAAGCCACTTATGGACTCAGTAATAATACCGCAAAGTCTAGAAATACAGCACTCATCAGGCCAAATTTCAATCAATAGCTTCGTGAGGTTCTGACCCGGCGATTTTGATTCAAGCACATTATGACTGCTCTTAAAAGCGTGTGAATGCAAACATGCAGCAGGTCATTTTTGTCTAGTTGGCTAAGAAAATTCAAAAGTAGCCGTCTTAATAAATAAGTAAAAGACTTGTGAAACAACAGTCAAACTGTATATTTGCATCAATCATCAATTTTGCAAGTTCTGGTCAAAATAAATAGGAGATGAGTTCAATTTAATATTTGTTAAATTAAATTTGTTAAATCATTTATTCATTTGTAAGCTAACGTTTTCCTTTCTTGAAGCTTCCTTCATTGTTTGTTCTTTCTATAAATTGATCTGCATCATTAATACAGTCTGAACAGCTGAGTCGTCCTCACATATTAACGACTTCCACACTGAGGAGTTTTGCTTTCGATTTGTTTGCGGAGTTGCACCGTATGTCGGATTCACCGATCAGTGTTTTTTTTTTTTTTGAGTTTCCAATCGCCGGTTGGAGCCGGTCAAGCATTAAAAAGTCCCAGTCAATCAATGTCTCGATTCATCTGTTAAAATCAGAAGCGACTTTCAGGCCTGACACACACTGACCGGGAGTTCGGCTGCCGGGAACCTTCATGTACAGCTGCACGGAGTTCATCCCCAGGATGGTGTGGCCAACGAGACTCAGCATGTTGTTGCTGGATTCCACTCGCATGAAAGCTGGGAGCTTCAGAAGCTCCTGCAGCTGGGGCTTCCACCTTGGTTTAGAAGTGATTTAAGTATGTAGTCACGGTTAATAGTTTGATGTAGCGCCAATCCACCGGGAGATTGGCCAGATTAGAAAACTCTTCCTCACCTTTTAGGGTCAGAGAGATCAATGTTGGTCCCAAATTTAATGATTTTTCCCACTGTTTTCTGCTCTGGGCTGTGGGAGGGGAGGGAATAGAGAAATCGGAGATGACTGTTGTTTACTCAGCTGAGCAGGGATTTCTTTACTCTTTACACAGTCAGACCAGAACTGTTTGCTTACCTGGGAGTGCTGGCGGAATTAGCCAACTGGGCTTTACTGGAAGAAGTGGAGTTGGTTTTGTTTGTCATTGAAGTGGGGCTGACTTTACTATTGGGTAAAGTCAGGGCAGCTTTTGTGGTCGCTAATGTGTCTGATGTCTTATCTTCTTCTTCCTCCTCCTCATTCTCACTTTCCTTCTCCTCCTTTAAAACATCAACAAGAAAGTCCTTAGAGATCAGGGAAGGATTTCACAGATAGATTTCATTCATTCTTGCATTCTCCTCATTCTGTTCATCGTGGGTTACGGTTAACTTTCCTTTCCTCCAAACTTCTGTTCACCATGGATAACACCAACCAGCTATTAAAAGTACAACTCCTGGTCTTTCTGTACAGGTAAGCAAGGTTGCGATGACTTCGAAAGGTTGAAATTTTGGTTCTTGTTGCAAGTGTTGCCACACTCTCAGAGAGACAAGGATCAAGAAAACTCACTGGTAACTTTTTAAACTCCTACATGCGCAGCGCAGGAGCTGAGCATGTTTTTCTAACCGTATCGAAATAACAGCTTAATACCACAGAAGACAATCTCTACCTCCAGGCTCTCTTGGAAACTGGAGGCCTGGTACTGGGCGTATTTGGCGATGGTGGTGTGCGATCGACTGCTTTCACAGGGCCAGGTTTGTGCAGAGCCGTTGAGGTTCCAGTTCTCATCGGCAGGCTGTTGAACCTGAGTCCTCACTTCCACGACGTGGTCTGAATTGGCCTCCACCAGCGACTTGGTGGAGAACAGACCGAGATCTTACAGAAAACAAATACGGGGAAAAAACATGGTTAATTACCAAAGAAACACAAATATTCAAGCAATAGTAATCTTCAAACTACTGAGTTTTAAGCCTGCAGTATCGCCCATCAAGCTGTACTCGGTAAATTACAACGTAGCTGAAACCTACTAAGGCGGAGGGAGCCGGCCAAGCCCCGGATGACCGTTACAGCATTTTTGGAATCTGTGCAGAACTGAAGCAGAACTGGAGAGAAGGCGTCCCGCTTGCTCTCCAACTGCAGAAGCAAAAAGAGTAGAATTAGAAATGCTGGAACCCACAGATGCAAACAATTAAAAGTGGGTTTTTTGTGCATCATGACATGTTTTCAACCGAGTTATTTGCTAGACCTAACCGGGACACTTTTACATCTTATCGCAGCTGGAAAGTGCAGTGCTAAAATTATATGTGTGATTCCTAAACCTGGCCACAGAATCGGTCAACTCATAATCAAACACAAGAAACGACAGAAAACATGAAACGAAAAAGCACAGCTATTCCCAGGCTGGGTTTAACTCAAACAACATGCCTGTGGGTCCTACATTTTTCCTTCAATTTCTGGAGTCGTAAGAAGACAATGCCGCAGGGATAATAAATGCTGAGCACTCACATAGATGCTTGGTGTGGGTGGGTTGAGCTTTTCCCGTGGAATGGGGGTGTCGATGGCAATTTTGGGTTTGACACAAAACGAGGGAAGCAGGTATGACTCCTTGAATTTGCCCTTCGCTCTTTCTCCCCTAAAGTAAGCACAGTGGGACATCAGACGTCCACAAACGACAGCGATGGGAAATTGACAACAGCACTTTTTAAAACCACTCACCTGCATGCTCTGACCACTTCAGCTGCTGTGTTTTCTATGCTGAGCTTCAACATCGGGATCCTGGGTTGCTCCAGCTCCGATATGTTAAATGTTTGTCTCCCGGCACTGTCCATTTTAATCAGCACGACCTTCAGCTCCTTGGACAAGCCCATGGACAATGCTTTCACTTTCAAGGGATCCACTGGACCTTTGGAGCTGGGAGATTTGCTTGCTGGTGTGATAGCACCCGACTGACCTGATGCTTTGATTCTTGCGGCTGAGGTTCCTGTGTTTGAGGTGTTGGTGTCTGGGCTTTTCTTCTTTCCTAACACACCGACCTCCACCTTCACATCAGCGACCCCAGTGTCCAGTTTGGCTCTCTTGATGTCTTTACCGTATGGCGTTTGATTTTCCTGAGGAATCTGGCCCTTCATGCTGTCTGCAAGAGGTCTGGTGGAGCTTTTGGTGATGACGGATACAGAGGATGAGATACCCCTCTTGTGCGCATCCTTTGAGGGATTAGCTTCAAGTTTGCGCTTCCTGTCTTTTTTATTCACCTTTATCTTTACGATGTCCTCTCTTCCGCCATCTTTATGCTTTCTCTTCCTTTTTGTAGCAGTCCGCTTGGATTCTTTCCTGTGTTCTCTTCTGTCCTTGGTGGAGACGGTAATGACGCCAGTGAAAGAGGCAGTGTGAGTTGTGGTCACTCTCAGTTCCGCACTCAGCGATCCCTCCAGACGTGAGGAATCCTTTCGCTCCAGAAGGTTCTCTTTATTCTTTCCCACCCCGTTATCATCCGAACTACTCTCAGTTTCTTCCTGATTCTCCTTCGCCTTGGGATGCGGTACTGAATCTTTTCGAAATGGCAGACTTTGGGATTTCAAACGTGAGTCTGAGGTAGAATCAGGAGGTGATTGACTGTTAGGCTCCGAGAAGGCTGTGGGAGATGATTTATGGCAGAGATCCTGATTCTCATCACGGTGAATCTGGGGCGCCACTGTGAGAGATGATGAATGCTTTACCCCTCTGGAAGTGGCCCCACCAAAAGGACCCCCGCGACATGATGCTCTCTGGCCTTCAAGGAAGGTGGCCAGGCTCTTGAAAACATCATCCAAACCTGCTTTTTGTTGATCGAAGTCATTAAGGAGCAAACCCGTAGCTTTACTATGTGTATTCTCCCTCTCATCCTCAATGTCTTCTTTGATTGCACAAGGCGGCTCGCAGAACTCAGTTGGGCTGTGGAGAGAGTAACCATCCGGTTCCTCAGTGCTGTCACTATCTGCAGGGAGAGGAGATAAACACTGAGTGGGACTGGGCTGGAGAACAGGCCTACTGATTACACCCTTTTTCAGCTCTTCCTCATCTTCTTCAAAATCTGAAACGGGGGAGCCCTGCCAGCTGAGCACAGGAGGAGTGTTTGCATGGTTGTCTCCCGAGTCACTGAGATTTCCCAGCACAGCCTCAGGCTGAAGGTCTGGCGCATTGAGAACTCCCAGCTTCTTCTCGCTTTTGCCAGGGACCACCGGGTCTGACCCAGCCGAGCACGTGGTACTGAGAGGTGCTGAGGCTTTATGGAAGATTGAAAGAAATGTTTTACCAGAGGTGATGCTTGTTCCATATTCTGATGTAACATTGCTGCTCTGATGGAGACTTTCAGAGTTGGCTATGGGGAGTTCATTTGCTGGCAGTTCTGTGGGAATGCTGCTCCCTTCAGGGATTTGCTTGGACTTTGAAGTTGGGGACTGGGAAGTAGAGTTGGGATTGGAAGTGGTTGGCGTGTCCAATGTTCTTTTGACCTTTTCACCTCTTTTCCTGGTTTTGTGTCTTCGGAGTGACTGGCTTTGATTAATTCCTGACAAAGATGGCGTCTCCACTTTGTCCAGTTTGGCCTCTCCTGGACAGGGGAAAGCATCGACGGAAGAGAGCTTTTCCTTCTTCATTTTTTTTAATTTCAAGCGCAATTTTTTGTCCTTCTTAATTGCTTTATCTCTCTTCCTATTCCTTTCTTCTATGCTTTTCTCTTCTTTTTTCTTCCTTCTTTTTTTTTCCTCGTTAGTCCCATTTGCAAAATCACCCATTTTCTGTTTTTTAATGAGCTTATCCTTCGGTTTGATCTCAGTTTTTCTGAGCTCCTCCATCCCCTTCTCGGGCTTGCTCGTCCTCGGCCTGGCAACCGGAGATTGTCGTGAACAGACTGAGGTTTTCCTGTGTTTGGGGTCTGAAAACCTGGATTTTGAGCCAGACTCAGACGTATGGCATGTGAATGTCAGGCTGGGTCTCTGGACGTGACCGGGGCCTGCCAGAGACTTCTGCTGTTCACTGAGAGTCGGAAGGCGTGGGTGAATGTCTGCTGAATCTCTCCTGCAACCGGACACAGCGAATGGGGAGGGACTGGATGGAGCTCCAGGACTGCTGGAAGTGGAACGACCATCTTTAGGACTGCAGAGAGGCGTCGGACTGGGGGAAAACTCTGCAGCAGAACTTTTGCACAGGGTTGAATCCCTTGGATTGAACCTTGAATGAGACCGCTTCTGTTCCTGAAACGTAAAAGTTTAGATTCGACGTTAATTGCCGAGTAACTTGTGTGCTACATTCTCAGAACTGTAAGGTGGATTTTAAACGTTTATCTCTTACTGTGCTTTGCTTGTGATGATGGCTCTGCAAGTCCTTTTCCTCCAGGGGGCGTGGTGGTTTGTTGTGCTGTGGAACTTTCTGGTGGCTTGTGTGCCGCTGATGGTGGTAGTGATGGTTTTGCTGGCTGTAAGGCACACGGGTGTGGTCTGCTGGTGAAACTGAGATTTTCCCTTCGACCTTCCCTTTGTTACCATAATGTGGCGGTCTGCTGATGAGACTCTGGTTGGGAGGTTCCGAGTCACCAGCGCCATGGGCTCCCGTTCGAGGTTCAGAGGTTTCCTGGAGCGTTTCAGAAACGGCACTTGATTTCAGTGGCACTAGTTCTAGGCTTATTTGTTTTTAGTTTCTATTTTTTTGGAGCTGGTTTACCTGTTGATGAGATGCTGAGGTCCTGTGTTCAGAGCGATGGCAGGGATCCGCTCTGTCATCTTGGTTGCAACGGTAGTGGCTTGGCGATGACGAGACATGAAGAGGTGGAGATAAATGCCTCGATCCAAGATGAGATAACTGTACAAAGAGACATCATTTCCCCTGTCATACAATACTGGATTTCACCAACAGGGGGTGATATTTCTCACAAATAAAGAAACTCATGACTGGGAGACATTAGTCAACAAAAAGAAGTTTGTTCTAATTACTTGATCTGGGTCAGAGTCCCTTTTCCTTTTAGCCGGACATCCGTTCCTCATGGATAGTTGGTGCTGAGGGGGTGGACTGTGATGAGGCAGCTGCTCTCTCCGCTGGTGAAGGGTGGGACGTTTCCAAGGTCCGTGCCTGTTGTTGGCCATTCTGCCCGTGAAGCCTCTGTGGTGGTCTGACGCACCCCATCTATCCATCGGGGGCTGCAACTCTCTGCTGCCGCGATTCAGGCGAGGATGCCCTTGCTAGCAGAAAAAGGGAAAGAACTGTAAATATAAAACATAGGTTTTCCCAGTCGTCGGTTCTCACCAGATTGTTGCTGACATTGTTCTGCCAGTTGACATAGCGTTGTCCGGGTCCAGTTTGATAACTGTTACCGCTTTGGTTGGGGAATGAGCGTGAGGAGTTGTGATGCCAGCTCTGGGCCTCAAATTGCTGCTCTTTACCATCCCAAATTCTTTGCGGATGTCTATGGCCCTTTGAGATGCCCTTATCCTGGACATGGTTGACTGTTCTGTTCCCCCTAAGAAAAAAACAAAACACCAACCCAACAGAGCTGAAGTCAACAAGTGGCAGGTAGTTATTTTACAGTTCTGCTACATAAATGTGAGTTCAAACCAGATGTTGGCATTGCATTTTCAACTGTTGATCACAAAAAAGGAAAAAAGCTGCTTCATCATTAAGCTTTTGTCAGATACACACACCACTCCATTATCATCAATATTCATCAGTGTGTTTCACTCACCTGTTATACAGATGACTTGATAGTGAAGGATGTGACAGGTTTCGTCCTTCTTGGTATCTGCAGAGTGAAAACACAGAAAATCAATCATAGTATATCGACTTAGGTTATTTGTAACAGGTGAATTTTAGAATTTCCTTTACATTTCTGACTTTTATGATTATGCCGCTCTTAAGACTAATATGACCTTTAACAGCTTTACACCGTCAGTCAAAATGCAGTGCAGTCGTATTGTGTGGTTCCAAAAACTTGTTTAGGATGTGTGGGGATCACTTTTACCGTGTAACACCTACTCTGTGAAATGCCCTTCCCCTGCCCTCATGGTCTGGATGCTGGATATAGTTTAAAAAGCAGCTGAAGACCTTCCTTTTTAAACAGATCTTTTCATAGGCCACTTCTGCCTTCCGTTTAGTCTTTTTTTTTTTAAATCATGTAAATGTACGAAGTCATTTGCACGAGAAATTAGACCAAAACACATTGTAATTTTTTTTGTGGTTTTGCAATGAATTTACAAGCACAAAGACATGTTCAACAAATTAGAGTTCTAGTTTGTTGAATTCATTTGTTAGCTTAAAACAAGTCTTGAAGTTCAGGTTTTAAAGGTACAGTCCCTTAAATTAATGCATCAAAGGATACTTCCGTTGACACAGTGATCCCACTGAACGTCTTACAGAAACACCCCACAGCTCTCACTATATTCATCAGTTTCCACCTCTGCTTCTTTTTACTGATGCAGCAGCCAGTTGACGATGCTACAGTCTCATTCCCATCAATTCTGTCTTTTGACATCGAGTTTATCATCACAGCTGCTGCCGGAATGAGAGATTTCCCTGAATATGCTCATCAGGGTTTCAGTTAATCAGCCAGCCGCATGAAGTGACACTTATCTAAAATTGGCCTTGACTGCTGGTTCAGGTGAAATGCATCCCGTCATCAGCTTCTATTTACTCTAAATTCTGACTTTGGAACTTTTAAAGGAACGGGGACACTGTGACAATGAGGGTTGCTCTTGGCTCTCTTTCAATCAGCTCAGCTATCCAAACCTTGCCTGGATAGCCTGGGTACTGCCATGCAATCCAAAAGGCACATCCAAACATTCAATGGTGTCTCCATGTTGATATATTTCTGAGTAACAGAGGAAGGCAAAAACACAGACTAAGGGTAGTTAGGTGTTGAACTAAAGATCCATGTTGCATGTTGACATGTGAGACAGAAAAGAAAAATAATTTATGTACGAATATACAAAATAAGCATGCAGTGCAACACATTAAAAGCATGGTGTTTTATGGCAGTGTAATGGGTTTTTCACAATTCCCTCACCTTTTGCCTTTGCCTCTCTTTGTGTATTTCCTTAAAGGGGACATTGTGAATTAATGAACATTTTGAACAGCCATATATAAATGCACCTTTTTACACCCTACACTGATTTCCATTGAATGTCCCCCTGTCAGATGGTCCAGCTTGAAGAATTTGCTGAACTTATATTATACTGATTTAATTTATGATTCAATTTGTTGCATTTTAATTGCAATATTAAAGGTGTTCTCTGAGTTTGAGCTTGATCCCACGCGAAACTGACCTACGACCTCCAGGATTTCCGCGACAAATCATTGGATTATTGAAAATGCAGAACACCTAACTTCACTGAGAAGGCAAGCATGATGCTACTGCGCTTTCAGGACTGGAAACCCCTGCTTTTTATCTCTCCTGCTTTCCTCCAATTAGACGTTCAACAAAGTCTTTCAAGCTTAAACTTTTTTTGTTTTTCTTTTTTAATTCGCACAGCTGTGACTCCTTCCTTTATCACGACAACTTTATAAGTTTCGCCTTGAGCTTATTCCCCATCGTCCTCGTCCCTCATTGCTAAATATGATGCCATAGCTTCCCTTTGATAGCTTGCTAAATATATTCTGCATTCCGACTGCACCTGAACGCCTCATAATTTCCTTCAGTCCCAGCAACAAGATGAAGATGAGCGCACTTCTCTCTGTCTCTTCAGCCCAGTAGCCACAGTAAGCACAGCATATATTGAGCTCTGTGTGCCAGGGACACAGCATGGTGTTAAGCATGCTCAAATAAAGTCAGGACATTGTCATGCACTATAATCCATAATGAGGAATGTTATCCCCGTTTAACTCTTATTCTTGGCGGATGATGAAAATCATGGTGTGGTCTTTATCAAGTGTGAAGAAGACAATTTCAAACATACTGGAGACAAAAGCCTTATTAAAATACCTTACACTAGAAACGCAAAAAGGAATCACACAAATTGTTTGCTATTTTAACACTGACACAGTGGTCCCTCTGTTGAAGTAAATGTTTTCCACAGGACTCTGCCGCCATCATTCAGCGCATGCGGCAGTGACAAAGTGTCAATAGTAAATACTTTATGAATAAGCGTCAACAAGGACGTCTTGTTTTGCGATGGCACGGCGCGGCTGCTGCGAGGAACCGGTTTGTGCTCGCGTGCATTTAGTGAGACGTTTTGAAATTAGCAGGACCACAGCAGCGTAATTCAGAGGAGTGGTGTGCGACACCATGGCAATTCACATGTAACGCACAGAATCTCACTTCTTCATTGGTGAGTGGACATTAGTCCCCCCAGGCTTTTCTGCTGAGACATTTCTGCCGCACCTTTAAATACACACATTTGCTAGGTACCTTTTAGCACACCACATACTGTATCTAGAAACTTATTGACTCAGGGAGAAAATGTTAAAACATAGCCATTTCGTGCAAGAGTTGTGCAGCTGACCTTTGGGGGTGGCTCCAGGGGCGGCCATTTACAGGCGCCCATTGTCCTCTGTTAGGCCCTCCAGCTGGGTAGGGGTCCCATGTGTTGCGGCCAGAGTAGAGCTCCGCCGGGTGATACATGCAGCCTGCAGGACAGATGTTGCCTGATTCAGTCAGAGGTTTCTTCAACTTCACTGCAACACAGACAGCTACAGGAGATCATTCCTGCAACAAGTCTTTTAAGAGCCTTAAGCTAATAAGAGTTACGGCAATGTTTTATTTCCTTTTGGGATCAACAAAGTGTTTTTGAATTGAACTGAATTGAGTGCTGAGTGATACAGGAGCATGAACAATTACTAACACTACTGTTAAAGATGTGCAAAAAGCATTTCATTGCAACGGATTTCTTAATTTTTGCTGGGTGATGTACAGAGTCCATTCAAGTTGCACAAAATTGTGTTCAGTCGTTTGTAAACTTGCCTTTATCTACAGTATTTTTAAATAACTGACTGTAACAAAAAAAGTAAAGTGAATATAAAAAAATCCCCCTCTAAACTTTGCTGCTAGAGAATTGCAGCAAAATGTTCACTGTGAGATACTACTGCAGTAACATCTATGTTGTTCCCCAGGGGTGTAAATATAACATTTCTGTTAACCGCCGTGCACCAGGCTGAACAAGGAACCGAGTTTACTTCAGCAGACCACACAGTGACCCAGGTGGTAAAGGAAGTCAAAGAAAATCTTCAAAGCCGCAGCAAAGAGAGGCATCTTGGAGGCTGACAAATTTCCATTTTACCCATTAGATGAAGTCTACGTGCCAACTTGATACTAAATTAAAAAACAATTAATCACACAAAAAAACAGGGCCTCTTCTGTCCTGTGCAAGGTTTACGAAACTCTGCTGGAAAAGTGCGGAAGACTGAACTTTTACAGCTGAGTCTTGTTTGAAACACAACAAATTCAGGAGAAAGCACCTCGTGCTTCCTCTTCAGTTCGGTGACGGATCAGTGATACTGAGGCCTTGTTTCTTTTCCGAAGGTCATGAGAACCTTATTGCACCATACAGAGTCATCAATGTTTTGAAATATGAGGACATCTTAAATAACAAATATCCTTCTTCTATAGCTAGCTTATTTTCCAGGTCTTTATCCCATAAAACAAAAAAAAAGAAAAACCCTGAGGGTTAAGCTACAAACTTTATCCGGATGATCTAGACACATTGTTGAAAGAGGAATAGTTAATTATGTCTCGCTGTGTAAACTCTGACCTTGTGTTTACAGTGGAAAACTAAATGCTGTCATATTGGCAGAAGGAGAACAGAAAGTATCAACAGCTGGAGAGTCGAGAATTTTATCACCAAGTGACTCCGCTGAAAACAATTAGTTTCTAATTCTGGTGTTTTCTCACTAAATAAACATGATAAAGTTGTTTTTTAATCCAAGATTATGTAACTGCATTGAAAGCAACATTTATTTCAGAACTTTTGACACATTTTTTTGAAATATGCGTACAGTGCTGCAATGAAAAACAAAAATACTTTTTTTTTTTTTTTTTGCCCTGCATGTACTTTTGAGACGACTGAAACAAGAACAAATGTTCCGCAGTTACCAGTCTTGGTCGGTGTGTAGCGGGACCGTCCACTTCCCACGTCAGCACAAGAGACAGTCTGCAAACAAAAACACACACACACACACACACGAGAGAGAATCACTCAGGAAACATCTCCTCAGGGCCCGTCATGCACATTTAACAGACACACAAGTTTAAGCTTAAGGTCTTATTATGTGTTGCTATGACCAATGTACACCAGTGGGGGTTTTTGTTCTTGCTTCTCTCTCGTGCCGCATTTTCCGCTGCCTCGCATCTGTGCAGCGGTCACACCATCAGCGAGCGACGGCAGCACCGCTGTGAACTCGGGCTGATTTTCTAATCAGTGGCGCCCAGCAGTCACCACAGCTGGTGGCCATTCAGAGAAAAAAAAACAAAACAACAACAACAACAAAAAAAAACAAGACACGCTCCACGGCAACCTCACTTTAAGGGCGGAGAAGGAAAATGGAGAGGCTGCGGGAGACAGCCGGTGTTTTGGGTTCATCCGGGCCGTTCAGTTTCACTACTTTTAATCAGCTGCTAAGTCTGTGGATCTGTACTTCCTGTCTCGCAAACGGATTTAAGTATGCCCATATCCTGTGGCACAGTGAGCTCTTTTGCTGCCTAGAAACCACTAATGTATACACACACACACACCCCCACCCCACACACACACACCCCGCACACACACACATTATCAGGTGTTAAGACTGGATGCTCTTTCAGTTTCTGTCCCTTATTTCAATTTCTCCTGTTTTTGCACTGTAATGGACTCAATATTGTTGTTTAAATGAGTTTTTTTTTTTTTTTTCCCCATGAGGAAGTCTTGTGCTGAGAATCACACTGCCGATGGGGTGATAAGGCTGCACCTCTGTATGCAGATGCTCCCCGTGGCTATTTATAACACACATGAAGAACGTTTCACCACTTCCCTCGCGGCGCGTTCAGTTGTACTACATGTTTTCGCTCCACAGGTTTGCTTGTGGTGTGACTGACTGATGCAGCTGCTGCACTGTGTCAAACCTTTCTGTGAGCGCTGAATGAAATTAAGCAAGCGGTAGCCCAACCCGTTGCCAGAGCAACAGAAGCCAGACGCTTCTTCTCGCCTGTTGCTTCGGGCTTTTTGTCGGGTCGATCGCTCGATTCAGATGCACGTTCAGAAAGAAGGAGGAAACACAGCGGGTCAATATTTGCATGCAGAGCTTATTTTGTGAACATTTGGTAAGACGAGGCCACAAATGCGCTTCCAAAAAGGCTGTTAGCAAATTGTAGAACTTTTGCACATTTTTATGCATAAGTAGCTTGTAACTATGGGAATGAAAGTGTACAATATTCAGCATTTGTATGCATAAAACTCTAATAAGTGTTAAATGCACTTGCATTCAGACAATCTCACCCAAGACTTCAGGCGTACGTCTCCATTGGCTTTGCTAATCTAGAGACTCTCCCTCTGTCCAATCCTCTTCACTTAGCAACTCAAGCTGACTTCAGATAGGATTATGAAGTTTTTAAATCGCATCGCAGTCAATTGGATTTAGGCCGGAACTTGAACCATTCTAACGGATTATTGCGTTGTCTCCCCGGCTTTATGTTTTGGGTCCAGTAACCTTTTTGGTAACTTGGTAACTAGTAATAACATTTTTCCCCATCAAGACTGATCAGATTGTTCATTGTTGTTCGATGGGGGATGAAGCTGCCGCCACTGTGGGAACAGTGACATGCGGTATCAACATTTTTGCATGTCGGTTGAGGCGGACAGCCGTGTCTTTGTAGGTTTGCATGGTGTCCCAAATGATTTCCGCATATTTACAATAAAGGTTTGGACGGTGTCCTGTGAGACGCTCAAACCTTGCATGGTGACAGTTTTGTGTGGTGCAGATGCTTTGCCAGAGCTGAAAACTGCAATTACAATTTAGATTGCAATTAATCTCCATCCTCTGGACAATTTTCCTTCTTTGTCTTTACATAACATCCCCACTTCGCCCTAGGGCCTGTAGCATTTGAGGTGCTTCACCCATACATACAATGTGGAGCTCAGGGACACTTGCTTTAGTCAAATACATCACAGATGAGCAGAGAATGAATGCATGACACTTAAAATGTAGCATCAACCCAAATATCAAACTCAAGGAGTCCTTGAGTTTCCACAATCTGCTGATGCAGAAAGCAGCATTTTGATTTGGCCTTTTCTAAACAGCATTCACGGATCGAAATCACGGCTGAGGGACTTTCGGGGACGACGGGTGATTTCGCTTTCAAACGTCCAGCTGTCCCGTCACAAAGAAGGTGGCCGTGCGCCGAACGCCTGCCGTTTTCACTCGCGAAACTGCGTGCGCAGTTTTGCGGCACTTTGAGACAAAGACTCGCGAGCAACTGTGAGCCGGGGACCCGGAGCCGCTTGCCTGAACCAGCAGCAGACCGACCATCTGTCGTCATCCCGCCCCGACGCTGCACGCCGGAACGCACACTTTCATTTGCCGCGCCGTCCGCCGAGCTGTCAGTCGGCAGCCGCAGCGTAGGCTCGACTCCGCACAACAGCGGCTCTGTGCGTCCAATATTAAAGCCATATGCGCCGGGGTTAATTCAAGACATCTGGAATCCAGCCTTCAGGCCAAATGATCTCATGTGCAAAATGGGTGAAGTTGCTGTTGGGTAAACGCTCTCCTTCACGGTGAGGCAACCTTTAGGAAAGAATCTGCAGGACAAACAGTTTCACAAACAGGAGTGCGCTGCAGAAACACCTTTTGTTTCACGCAAAAGGCCTGCTCGGCTTCCTCCCTCCCATGTCGTCACCAAACACTGTTCCTGTTTGCTGAGTGTCAATAGGAAGCATTTATTTGAACTCTAAACATCAGGGTGCTTGCGTGAGCCAGGCCTACCTTACAGTGACCGCCGAGAGTCAAGACTTTCAGGTCCAAATTTTGACGTTGCTATCAGGACAGGATTAGAAAGACTCCAGACCAGTGCGGTTTCAGATCCCTTTAAATAGCTGCGAGCTGGTAGTGGGGGAAGAGAAAGAGAAAAAAAGAAAAGCACACAAATAGTAAGAAGCTGTAGGAAAAACCGTAGACAGTTGGTGCACAGATGTACATTACAGGAAGGTTTTATCGTTTTAAATCAGAGGGAGTCCCTTGGGTACACCTGTAACTCCCTTCCTGTTTTATTCCTATCTAAGTCATCCCAACAACATGTAGACTTTAACACATGTGACCCTGCAGGGCAAAATAAAGACAGAAAACAAAAAAGCAACCTTTGATGGCCGTCCAGGCAGTTTTATTTCCTACAACCTGCCTGTCCTCCTGATGGCACCGCATTTCTGCTTTCCTACTTGTTTCAGCAAGGCTCCCTCTTTTTATCCTGATACCCAATACCCCCAGCCTCCTGCTTTCTCTTTCTGGCAAGGCGAGCGGCTCTGCCTGTGTCTCCACCCTCCCTTCTCTCGGCACGCTGTGCCCCTGTATCCCTGGCAACCGATGATATCATTTAGTCCAGAGCTGGGAGGAAGGCCTGCAGCGAGGAGGGGAGTGTTTGCGTTTGTGTGCGATTTTTGACACAGAAAGGAGAGGTTGTGTCGGCGGTGGGGGCAGGAGACCGTCTGTGGGGTTTTTAAACTTCAGCTTGAGCATTTTTTTTCCTTTTTTTTTTTTATTGCTTGCATTTGCGCAGCAGTACTTACAAGGGATAGGCTGATATGAAAGTGCTTTGCATGAACACAGCACAGTTTCAGAGTATTCCCTCAAAAACACAAAGAAAGATATGTGACCAATTGCTCTATTTTAAATAGGAAACCCCCAGTTATCTGTAGAACGCTAAACATCAGAATAATCTGTTAGCGCAAGTAGTTACAATAATGGACGCGCCGATCAAGTTTCCCCTCATCAATACCAATTTGGATTTTCTTTGCGATCTAACCTGTTGACTCATATTTCCCTGTTCTTCCTAAGCTGCTGTCACCCTGTTCCCTATTTTGCCATGTGAACTAGCATAAAAAACAAACCCATATGACGAAGAGGCAAATGAAGGAAATTAATAGGACTGTATGGGTCAACAAATTCTGTCATGCCCGTTCTGAACAGGCCATGCGTGCAGAGACGAGTGGTGTTGAATTCACAGTATTCTGCTACACCGTGGCCCGGTTCATTACTTTCCTGCTAAGTATTTCATATTTCTGAATCACCTGGGGACAAGTGGCCAAGGATTGACTAGCCAAGTTTATCAGACAATAAGGTAGGGAGGCATTAAGTTTCACTTTCATTTTCAAGCATCCGGTGCCTGGAGGTGAGTAAACTATCTGGATAACGGAGCATAAACTGAAGTAATTGTGTATCATATTACAGGTCACTGCTGCGATACCTATGCAGGAGTTGCATTGATTCTGTCCATGAGCAGTGAAGTCCACTGCCTGGAATATGCTGCAGGGTTCAATTTTGAGGTCGGTGATGCGGGCATTATGTCTTCCAACTCAAACGAAAGGCTGATGAACGACAGCGTGACATCAGTATAAAGATTCGACCAAAAATGTGTCGTACGTTCTTTGAGTAGACTTGAATCAACGACATTACATTGATCCATTGACAGACGTCTAAAGGTGGGGGTCCTTATATGCAATTTAACAAACAGGAAAGGAAAAATCTGATTATTCAGTATGTAGCTGTCTACAGCATTACATCTCGTTCCTGATATTTTTTATTTACACTGTAATGCAGGATGTAAAAATGCTACAAAGCCCCCTTTCAATAGAATCACCTATTAGAGCTGATCAAGGAAAAATTGGCCCATTCTGATGTCTGGCCAATTGATTTCTGCATCTGTTGTTGCCATTCTAGTACCAATCGGATTTACTTATAGTTATTTTTATAATATATACACACAAACACTTCAGCAAACACAGTTTCACAGCTGTAGTTTTTAAGAGTCGTTGGTTTCCCAACGATGCCTGCGTTTGGAGGCATTCACCAGCAAGTTCAGAAAGAGGGATTGCTGCAAAGTCAACAACTCAACAGTCAGCTGTTGAGTTGTATATATAGACCAAGTTCATATAGACCAAGTTCTTTTTCCTCAGCTGACATTATGAACTGAATTCAAATGTACTGCATCATACCCAGGCTGGAATTTAAATGTCAATTCGAATTTATCTATGTGACCTATTTCAACTGAATTAGAACTATTTGTTATTAACTGGCACTGCATTATTATTACCAAGTTTTGCTAAGTTTCCTTGCAAGCAATCAAAAGTCCTGGACTCTTATGGAAGCCAGCTGACCAACAGCATCCAGCGACATATGGGGGAGGGGAAGCAATCTACTCTTCATGAAGTTGGAGAAAACCGAGGACACTCTCAGGGTTTCTTTGTGATCTTTACAATAAATATGATGGGAAATCTTTGTTTACGAAATCATAACTTTTAAAAACCAGAGTGTAGCTGTGACGCCTGTAGCCTGCCCAAGGCGATGACTGATGGGTGAGCAGCAATTTTCAAAGAATGTGGAGAGCTAAGTTCTCGTTTTTAAGCAGAATGACATTAGAAACACGGCAATCGTGCACAACCTAACCTGGCTGCAGCAAAAACCACTGCAGATGTGCATCTTTTGCAGCATGTGCATGCGTGTTTTATGCAGTGGATCATGCTCCTATACCATAAAAGGGAAGGAAGGTCTGCTACTCACACACGCACACATAAACACACCGTAGTTGCCTCCGGTGGTTTCGCAGCCAACGCAAGGAGAGGACAGGCAGAGATCAGACCCAGCGGAAGCAACAAGGTATACAGACAAGACTTGGACGCCGATTGGACTCCCCCCCACCAACACCAACACCGCCAACCCCCCTACAGCCACACCGACTACATTCACAGTTCCAATCAGACGCAGACATGAGCCTTTGCTCAAACGCTCACATAGCGAACGTACAGTACGAGCCGAATATCAGTCACTTAGTTGTTCTTTCTTTCTAAAAATAACATCCCTGCTTGCTTGCATTGCAACCTCCCCCCACCCCTTCTTCCTCCTTCTCCCTTTTCCAGTTCACAGCAGCTTCTGCCGGCATACGCTCCATAAAGCTCAGCCCCTCCGAGGGGGTGCTGGAATGTACCAAGGCAAGGTCAGAAACACCAGAGAGGGGTTTGTTGGAAGCGTGTGTGTGTGTGTGTGTGTGTGTGTGTGTGTGTGTTGTAGTTGCAAAGAATACAAAATGTCCAGTATTTTTTGGAGGGAGTGAGGGAGGGGGGGGACAAAGACTGTAAAGCATGCTGGCAGGTGTGACGAAAGACTGCACGTAAGAGAGAGAGACTGCGTGTGTGTGTGTGTGTGTGTGTGTGTGTGTGTGGTGTGTGTGTGTGTGTGTGAGATGCACAGCTGGTCTGCGTGGTGAATGGTAACCTAGAAATGGCTGTCCAGGTGGTTATCAAAGCCGGTAAATCAACTGAAGGCACACATATATGTGAAACAGGTTGATCCTGGCGGCAGTGGCCTTACCTTTGACCTCCTGGGTGAGCATGGCAACCATCTAAATGTGACATTTTCTGCTGGAAGCAGCAAAATCCATTTGCAGAGCGTTGTTGGGAGACCTGTGCAACACGAGACACTTTCCTCGTTATTCCAAATTAGGGCCTAATCCTCGCTCCTCTCACTCCAGTTTGCACACAAACACAAACTCTCGCACTCAACAGCTCGACGTTCCGGTTTGCAAAAAAAAAAAAAAAAAAAAAAAAAAAAAATCGAACCGCAAGTGTAAAACCGCAACAGTTTTCCTTCACTACATTCATTATTTCACATTTCTCCTCTCAGTGTGGGTCTTCACGTGAGCGTGTGTGTGTGTGTGTGTGTGTGTGTGTGTGGAGCTTCATGCATGAACGTGCAGCGGTCTGCAGACGTGCACTGCAGTACAGTCACCGAGAGACGAATCATTGACAGAGCACAACATGAAACACCCCGAACGATCCGAGAACTGAGATGGAAACAATAGAAAAACGCACGCAGACAGACGGACTCACACACACACACACACACACACACACGCTTCTACCCCAACACACAATGCATGCAGTAGATTTCCATTCACCACCATAAAATAAGCACATCAAGTTCCTCCTCTGCATTCCTCATTTACCTCTCTTGGGTTTTTTTTTTTTGTCTGTAGTTTTTTGTTTTTTTGTTTTGTTTTTTTGTCCCCTTCAGGGTCTTTGGTCCGGGCTGCCCCTCTTCTCTCCCCTTTTTTTTCCTCCCTTTCTTTTCACTCCTCGCCACCTTGTCTCACCCGATCCTCTCCTCTCTGTCTCCTTTTCTTTCCCCCCTCGCCTCCTCTTCCTGTTTCCACTCTACTCTCTGATGCTGGGGCTCTCTCTCATAGCAGCACAGACCGATCCACGTGCACGGAGGGATGGCGGGGGCGGGCCCACGGGCTGCCAGTCAGAAGGGCCGGAGCCAGTCAGGAGGCCGGGGGGCCCACCTCCCCCCCCCCCCCTCATCTGTCACAGGAGGAGGGGAGAGAAGCAGACAGAGAGCAATAAAGAGGGAGGTTGGAGGGGCTGAGAAGGGGAGGGGTGGTGGGATCTTTAATTCGCTTCCTGGGTGCCTACGTGCGTCTGTGTACAGTATGAATGTGGATATGGGGGAGCTGGAACCCAGCCAGTACAGTAGAGGAGATATTTTAAACGATTAAAAAAAAAATCTTTACATCTCGAAGATTTCAAATATGAGCTGTTGTTTACTCATTTTTTTGTGTTTGTTGAAAACTGAGACTTTTCCTTTTTTTTTTGCAGCAATTCAAGGAGAAAAACGTACATCATGCATTTCCAAATGATGCAAACTTTGTGAAATTTCTCTCTCTCTCTCTTTGTGTGTGTGTGTGTGTGTGTGTGTGTGTGTGTGTGTGTGTGTGTGTGTGTGTGTGTGTGTGTAGCAGAGTAAAATGGTGACAAGAGGAGCTGCCAGCTCAAATGTCAAGTGACAGGACAACCGGCGGAGGAGGGGCCTCGGTTCTGCCTTCGTGAGGGAGGGTCTAGAGTCTTTGTGGCTCACAATACTAGACCAGCACTCGCTCTTCTGCTCGTTTCACCCTCCACTGGCCAATAAAAGGCAGGTTGGGCTCTCAGGGGGGCCCCCGGAATCACAGCGACAGGTCGAGAAAGATGGCGATCTGAAGACGAGCTGGCGAAACGATAGAAGCAAATGATGGATTTTATATATGTATGCTTTTTTTTATGTCAGCTTAGATTTTTATTATTTATTTATTTATTTTTATGCCTCTGAAGTGCCATAGCAACAGCGCCCGGATCAGCCTGAACTCTTATTGGTTAGCCGTCAACCCCATGTGGGTATTCAGACCAATGAGCGGGCTCCTACATCTTCATATGCCAGACAGGCTGCTCACTCACTCACGCCCCCTGGCGGCCTCACGCGAGGCCCGGAATGTCCCTCGCGCGGCGGTTTTCGACAGAAACACTCGTCCAACTATTTCTGCAAAATTTGTTCCAGCAGGCAAAGTTTAAGTGAAAGGCACTCCACTGAACAAATATGCAAAAAAAAAAAAAAAAAGACAAATTTGATTTCAATTGATAAATTATTTGAGGTGCGGAGAAAAAAAATCTGCATCTTATACATTGTTTCAACCTAAAAAAAGAAAGAAAAAAGTCTAACTAAAAAAATGTCAATGTGTATTTAAGCAAACAAACAAAAACCTTGCTGCCTTCACTGCCCCAAACGACTGTCTGCCATATTGTGAGTGGCACTGAAAAAAAATGCTATGCTCAGAAATACCTGTCATACCTGTCATACACGTTCGCCTTGGAATCCAATGCAATTAATGACTAGAAACTGAGTTTTCTGATTTCAAAGAGCAGAGCGTTTACATTTAACCATTATGTGCTGGTTGCTTTTATACTTTTATGCATATTTTTTAATGTTGATAAATGTGACATTTGATAAAATATGATACGATATCGCAATAAAGTAAGAACAATTAAAATAATATACACTTATTGGCCCTAAATTAAAAAAAGGAAATGTGCCAAATTGCTCAATAGTCATCTCAAGAGCTAAATAGCTATATTAACTAAGAACAACTTTTGCCAAAAACGATTATTTAGGGACGGACGTGAAGCTTATTCATTCATCACATCAATAATAATATATGTGTGCGTTTTATTTTTTTCCAAGAACGATAATAAATTAGGAACCAACCTTGTTATTTGGAAGGGGGAGGCGAATGAGTTTGAAGTTCAGCAAAAAGCATGTGCTGCCTCCATGTGGACAAATGTAGGTACTGCACATTGATGGAGATAATCTGAAGACGATGGAAATGTTGCACATGTTCAACATCGTGGCTCTCGAGCTGTGGAGCAGGTGGTATCAGGTGTGTGTTTGATAGCACACACTGAAACGAACCGTAAAGCCACAAGCAGCTCAAAGGAAGAATATAGCTCATTTTAGTTTCATTAGAAATTTGGCAAATGTGAAGAGACATTTAGGTTCAAACTGAAGCGGTCTACACAACATTTCTGAATTTGTCTTACATTTCAGAACATGGGTTTGGCAATCACTTTTAAGCTCTTTCTACAAATGATGCAGTTCCTTTGTTTTCTGTCTTTAACATGGTAAATTACTTGGTCATTACTTCTATGCCACTTGTCATGATAACATTTTTCAATCCTGTGGTACAGAGTGATAAAATGCAAAAATAATAAGAAATATTTAATCCTAGAATTAGTTAAGCATTTGTTTTATGACTGATTCAATAGGTACATATTTCCTGAAATGATTCCGCAGCTCGGCACAGTTCTGGGCTTCTGCATTAATGCTTTGTTGATGTGCCTTTGAAATAATCTGTTTCAACATCTAATCACTTAGATTGCCTTTTTGGTTTGTAAAGCACCTCCGTAGTCAGGCAGATGGACGGACCATGTGTCGGAGCAACTTCTCTACTAAATTTCTTACCGATCATCAAATCAGGCGAGGCTTTGAACTTGATGCATCATCAAGTTCACGTGATACGTCATCGCTAAAGTGATCTCATCATCTGTTTTAAACTTGTACTATCGACTCTTGTTTCCATCATTCACACCGAAAATGACTACATGGAGGCAACTGAGATCTACCAGCTGTTGCCTTTTGCTAATGAAGAACTGAGCGACAGCAGCAGTTTGAGTAGCTGCGCCACAACCCGTCTTCCTCCTAGCACCCAGGAGCAGCAGTGGGCAGCCGAGTCGGATCTATACTTGGTCCGAATTCATAATTCTAATTGGTAAAAATGCTGACAGTTGAAAAATCTCTGTCCACGTAACTGCATCATCCGCCCCGGTCGCATAAGTCATGATTGTCATAACTCAAGATTAGATCAGAGAGGCAAGCTGCTTCTAACAACACTCAGTCACTCAAATTGACTTATTAGGGCAGTGAAGGATTGTAGCCAGGGCTAATCTGACAGTTTACATTTGCATAAAGCAGACTTTAGCAGAGGGCAGCACAGCAGCAGCAGCAGCAGATGCGCCAAGACATTGGAACTGCATTACTTTTTGTGCGCTTAACATGTCAAACCAATCAAGACAAATGTTCCTCTGCAACTTTTATCAGCTCAACTCAAATACAGTTGTGGTTATATATCAATATTTCACCATTTTTACCAATGACGTCTAGCTGTCCAGCCCCTCAGAGGAAGTGCGAAAGTAATGTCTGTTTCGGGTCACTTTGGGACAATATTTTGCTCACTAGCACAAGCCTAATGAGCAGGGATTGTTAACATTTTCAATATGGAGGTTGTTGTGAAAGACTTCAAAAAGCAGTGGAGACAGGAAGATGCCATTTCAGGTTAATATTGAGAGTTTTGCTTCAACATCATACTTCTATTGCTACTGGACATATTTCTATTCCCAGTCTAAGAAAAGTCTCCAAAATCTTATGATCTATGCTCAGAAATACCTGTCAAAATATTTCATTGTTTTTTTGAGTTGAACTACCAGATACTAGACCTGGCAATGTGTAAGGACTGCTGGAACTCTCTTGTACTCGCTCACAAACTTTGCCACTTGGTATTCAAACTTTCATGCGTTATCTCCCTTTACCAAGTGGCTTATCCACCATTCAAACCAAGACGCAGAGTACCTAGAGTCACGATGGGAACTTTGGGCCTTTTGTTCACCACGGAGTCAGATTAGTCCAGGTTTGCATTTTACAATTACACAAGAAACCCTGGACTGCACAGTGACACAGCATAGGACTGTTGCCCTGCAGCAGGAAGGACTAAGGTTTTAATACCAGATGGGGCTGTTCTGCATGGAGTTTGCATGTTTTGCTTGTGTCACTGTGGCGACCAATCCAGGATGTATCCTACCTTTTCACCATTACTACTAGAGAAAGATATCCCCCCACCCCGACCATGCAATTATCAACCGAGTAGAACTGAAGAACTTGTGTCTTGTTTCAAATACCAGAAAATGGGCATAAAAAATATTTTGAGCAACGCATTTTAATGCCATAAGTTTCATGACATTAATTATATAAGACTGGTATCTGGGTTAGAGGCTAATATTCAACTCAGAGATGAAGAAGCTACCCAATACGTCCCCAAAAAGTAAGTTTCTTGCGAACTTCAGGTTTTTCTTTGAAGTTTTCAACAGTTGAGTTCATGGGTCAGTGACATGCCCTTAACGCCTTCATTAACTCAAGACTTACTTAACTCTGGAAGCTCACGTCCAACTTTGCATATCAGCTGTGTGACATTTAAATTGTAACGGCAAGAGTCTCATTTTGCACAACGGCAAGGGAACAAGTCATTGAGGAGACAGGCACAAACATGAGGATGTTAACTCCTTTGCTTCTTGCTCTTACAGCTTTGCCTTACCTTTCACTGGCAACCGTTGTGCAAGACTTCAATCATGTGGAGAGATGCAAGGACTCACTGTACATGGGGACGCCGCCACGTGGGATTGTCGACATCACGCTAAAGAAGATCTGCCAACGCTACGCAGACAAACCTCGATTTGTGACGCTGTACGACCCTCACAAACGGATCCCGGTTTACTCGGCTTATACCTTCAAGAAAACAGAGGGAGACAGGCGTGTGGACTACCCGTGGATGTACGAACCACAGGTTAGAGTCTTTTAGATTTAAATACATATGTTCATTAAAAGTTTCTCTCCTTTTTTTTTAATAGCTTTGGTAGGATGTGAAAGAGACTAATTTACTTTTCATTATCCTCCCAGCTGGCAGAAATTGATGGAAATGGGAACATGTTGCCGTTCCCCACTGGCTACCTCCACATGAAGTTCGAGGACAGCCAGGCAGTGCTGGACGACTACTCCGACGTTGTCCTTTATGAAAGAGGTCACTTGAACCCAGACCAGCACCAGTCCACTCCACATGACCGCGCTTCCACCTACACACTGACTAACGTGGTCCCAGAGATCAGGGAGTTCAACATCGGACCATGGCGTGAGTATGAGGAGCGAATCCGAGTGCGCCTCAACAACTTCTGCCGTGGCACTGCCTACATCGTCACCGGAGTGACTACCAGGGGGAACATGATTCGTCGCAACAACCAGGACCGGGTGGCCATCCCCGAAGACATATGGTCTGCGTACTGTTGCACCGAGTACGACCGCAACTCGCCCCACGACGTGCGCGTCCTCTTCCCGTCCCACGGGGCCCTGGCCAAGAATGCCAAAGAGGGGAACAGTGTTCATGAGATGACGGTGCAGGAGCTGGAGATGTTTCTGAAAAACCACATGGATGTCGACCAGAACCTTCAGATCTTCTATGACAACTGCGTCTCTCCCTCTCCTCTCCCTCTGTACCTGCAGCACACCATCTGAGGGATGACCATTTACAATGTGTCGATCTGTTAGACATGTGTGTGATCGTGCCAGCTTCAATGGTTTCTCCTAATAAGAAAGGTCAATAATATATCCCAGTAAAAAATAGTTAATGTTTTGATTGTATCAAAATTTCAAGGTGAATTTGTTTTGCTGTACTTTCTTGAGATCTACATGATTTCTCTGTTGTGTGGGAGGTGACGCAAACTAATTTGATAAAAAATATCACAATTAACAATAATAAATCCTTTTTGTGTTTGTGTTTCTCAAACCAAAATATTAGACCAGTTAGAACATTAGACTTTCAATAAATCCAGGTGTGTTGTATTTGCAGTGTCAATAGATTTGAATTAGTGAGCTTGGGGGTAAAATTTCAGCTTTCCAACTAAGCATGAAGAAAATATTTACAACCTCATTCTGTAAAACTTTGGGAAGGATAAATAGTTTTTCTTAATTAAACTCTTCTGGAGATTTTTATGGATCCATATTCAGTTTTAGTTTGTCACATTTTTTCCACTACAAGCAAAAAAAAAAAGGTTTTTATATGTGGTAGAAATGTCACATAAATGTTCAAGGTTGTCAGAGGAAATTAAATGTACTCACAAATATAATCTCTCAACCTGATTGTCAAAAAGGCACAAAGAGATTTTCTATTTTCCAAGACACCATGTGAGCTGTCAGACCTCTCAAATAGAAAACTCCTTTCTGTTTGCAGCAGTAATTTTCCACTGCCAGTTTAGTCACACTGCCATCTAGTGTTGGAGCAACAGTAGTGATTGTGGTGTATGGTAAAAATACATGTTTCTCCCAATATATATGGTTGAATAAATATGGATCAGAGGATGGGACGGCCATCACTGTGAAACAGACGCTGCCGAGATATTTTGGAATTTGAAATGAAAGTCATTTCGTCGTGAATGAGTGGAATTAAAGTCGGACTTCAGTTTGTGTAAATGTCTGTGTGGACACATTAGGAGCTGAGAAGACATTTTTTGTTCTTAAAGTAAAGGACAGACTTAAAAAGAATTGTTTTGAAAAAGAAAATAGTACAATAAAGCAACTGATTCTTGATGGGGAAAGTAAAATAATAAAAAATCACCATATATTTATATATACTTCTCATGAATAAAACATTTCCTTCCATCTGTGCATGTGTGGGTTTTCCCCAGGTACTCCTTCCTCCCACAGTCCAAAACACAGGGATGTTAGGCTAATTAGCAACTCCAAAATAGAAAAGGGAGTAGAGGGTGTGAGTGTGCAGAGTTGTTTGTCTTGCATGTCTCAGTGCTGGCCAATACTGGTGGGATGGCAGAGTCTTCTCTGAACAAGAGGCAGAAGGCCCAGAAATTGTGTGAGTGGTTGTTTATTAAAATGGTACATGACCAAGTAATCTATGGCCAAAAGAGGGATTTTCACACGTGGCCGTGTATGTACCAGTGGAAGCTTGAAAGCATATTATGTTCCACAATACTAAACGAGGGTTAGATTGGTTTATCCTTGGCTTGTGCACTGCAAAGTGGAGGAAAAGCACCGCCTCACACATGGAATCAGGATCTTATTGAACTGATTGTTTGGGATGCTCCAACAAAAATCTACAAATGTAAAATCATGCATTCTTTAACATTAGCATTTGGCTGTTGAAAATGTTTAGAGTGGCAAATGACCCAGATTTGTGGGCTTCTGGGTGATTTTACTTTCTCTGTAGTATAAGTGCTGGTGTTTGTGAAAATGATCAACTCTATGCAACACGCAAACCACTTTGTACATGTAGCATTTAGTAGCGCTTGTATGTGACGCCCCTCTATGTTTTAAACAAATAGGAAGACTTTTAATTCCACTTTTAGGACTCAACACCACTTCTAGCGCCCAGAGTTTGAAACTGAATGATGTACGAAATTAACTCTGGTTTCTGCAAACAGAAGAAAAAAGAAAATATATGCTTCTCATGAGCTTCATGGTGGGACAATAAACAATAGATAACAATGTCAAACCTATGTAGAAAAAAAGAAAAAAAATCATTATATAAAGGACAGACTTAAAAATGATGATTTCATATGATGAGGGGAAAAACTATTGAACCAATTTTTCAATGCACTATAAGATAAAAAAAAAAAAACTGCCTTCTAAACCTAATAACTGGTTGTGCCACCATTTTTAGCAACAAAATTCTGGTTTATGACAAATGATGGGTCTCTCTGCAGATGCCGACTTCCACATGCTTTTGAATTTCTGAAGACCATGGGATGATGGTTCGCTATGACGTCGAGTCTACTTCATTTTGTCAAACGGGTTCTGTTAAGTTGACTTTTTGATTCTGAATGTCTGACATTAATCCAGCCTGGGTGTGTCTAGTGATAGCTGCTTGTTAAATTGCACGTTTTTAAAATTTGTCTGAAACCATAAATAAATCTGTCAGTGGGTTAAATATTTTTTCACATCACTTTGGGATATCTGGGCGAGTGCTACATTAAAGCCTGAAAGCAAGTGATTTATTAAGCACCAAAGAACTAATAACAGGTCTAAATATGCAGGGACTGAATGCAAAATAGCTGCTGAAGACTCTTTATTTAATTGTCGTTCTGCCCTCAAGTGGCCAAACGAAGCATTGCAGCTTCAACAGGACTTTGGCCATAAAAATGATGGCAAAGCATTTGTTTAAGAATGTCTTTTAATGTTTTCCAGTTCAGATACACAACAGACAGTGTGTAATAGCCTCTATTTGAAATAGAAATATTAACTTTAATTCTCTCAACTCCTCGTCGTCAAATATGCTCCCTCTGTGTATTTTGCGCCTCAAGCAGGTTACTGAGTCAGACTAAATGAAACAGACAAACAGGTGCAAGCCTTCACTGTAACATCTGGCGTCAAAAGTTTCAAGAATAGGACATTTGAGACAATTGTAACGCCAATTGTCAGCCAACATCAGAACTGTAGTGTAAACATGTAGACTTGGTGAGTGTGCTTCCGTTTTCTGTTGGCTGGTTTCGACCCTTGTTTCCAAAAGAAGGGGACAGGGGATAAAAAAAAGAAAGCATTTGGCCATGTTAACTTCAGAAGCACGGGTAACTGAAACTCACACCAAACAGCTGGGTCAACAATCCCGTTGACAGGATGTGCAGACAAAAAAACCCGTCAAAGTTAGCAAAAACAACCACTATGTTTATAGTTCGAAGTAAGACCAAAAGAGTACAAAGGATTTCACAACCTTCCAGTTACGTGGGTATATACCGTATGCTCAAGACGACGTGAGACAATAACGACCAACTACACCAGCGTCACAAACTGCATCTCTGGATTCACGGTTTGCTTTGAGCCAATTTGTGACAAAATCTGTTTTTTTTTTTGTTCCGGTCTCATTACTCAAATCCTTCCTGTTTTTTTTCTCTTCCTTCATCTGTTCTCTGCAGCTGTTCTTTGGCTTCTTCACCAATGAGAGAACTCATTTCACTCAAAAGCTGCCTTGCATGATTGATGGGACGATGCCAAGTGTGCACGGTATGCTTTAGACCACCGTAGACAATCACAAGACCTGGGCCGCCAGAAAGCATTCCTTTTTCTGTTTGTTTACCTCAACCATGCTTTTTTTTTTTTTTTTTTTTTAAATCATTCATGTATACTGATAGATGTTCTCATGTGCCCACCTTATAAGATTTGATCATAAACTCAGTTACAGTGCCTTGCAAAAATATTCACTTTTTGCTACATTGCAATCACAAACTTTGATGCATTTGATTGGGATTTATTGCGATGGAACGCCATCAAGCTAAAGGGTGAATGGCATTAACCAATAAGAATCCGAAATATAGGCCAAATGGTGGTATCCAGCCTTTACTCTGATGCCCCTAAATAAAATCCAGACCAACCAGCAGTGCTCAGAAGACACTGAGGTCGAACCTGTTTGAGGTTGCAGAAGACTTGAAACTGGGGTGAAGGTTCATTGAAAACCAAGAACTATGTCTGTATTACTTAGTTTTAAAGAATTAATTCAAAAATAATGAAACAAAAATTCAGACCTTAATGTTATTGTAAATCTGTGCAAAACTGGTAGAGAACGCCTCAAAAAATGGTTCTACAATGACCTGAATCAGAGGAAACTGAATACAAACGCACGTCGAAATTCATAATTGTAAATCATAAATAATTTTCCTTTCCACTTCACAATTGTAGTTTGTGGTGGTGTATTGAGTGAGATCCCGACATGGAAACTTGTCACTGCAATGTCACAAATTCTGGGTGGGGGTTGGAGTGTGTGTGTGTGTGTGTGTGTGTGTGTGTCGGGGGGGGGGGGGTTGGGGTAGCCCTACGAATAGTTTAGCAAGACATTGTCAACGACGGCTGATCAAACCGGCTATGTGCGCATGAGCGTTGAAATCATGTTAAGACATCTAAACTTGCACCTGTTGTCTCAAAGAAAAAGATCTGGCCAATCACTCCAAACCAAACGACAAACATAATATTTACAAATTCCAGTTTGTTCTCATACACTTAAAAATAAAAAATAAAGTTCAGTTTGTGTGGTTCTCGTCCTCCCAGCTCGCTCCAGCCCAGCGTGAGGGATGGCAGTCTGGATCCGGGAGTGTCGACATCCTAAGCACGCAGTGGCGACGCAGGACGTTACAGATGCCAATCCCAGCCGCCTCGCTTTCTCTGGTACAAGGTGTGAGTAACATCTCGTTTGATCAGGATTTCCTTCCCCAACGCATTCCCTGCGCATTTGACGGATCACGCAGACTGTTTCGTCGCCGTCACCAGTGAGTCACTGGTTCTCCAGTGTTGTCCTAATGTCACAGTTTTTCCTTTTTTGTTTCCTCCTTTTTTTCCCCCCCCCACCCCCAAATATTGTCCAGGGTACAACCCATCCTTGTGTTCAGTTGTGCAAAACAAGTGACACAATCATACAAGGCTCTCATCGTTGTTTTTTTGTTTGTTTGTCTTGTTTTTTGTTTTACCATAAATATATATTTTCTTTTCACCCGCCGTGCCGAAGCGAAAACCATTAGATGACAAAAGAGCTGACAAAAAAAAAAAAAACAATTGAGTCGTCCTCAGATGCTTGAAGCATTGACTTAATGTCAGTCACATACATGAACCTTGCTTGGATTATTCATATGAAGAAATCATGTCTCTGTTTTTTTTTGTAACGTAAAAAGTGCTTTCCTCGTATGAGACTGAGAGACAGTGACTGTGCAAACCTGACAGCTTTGAAAGAAAAATACAAAAAATGGGGGAATTAAAAATAAAACAAGGCTCTCATCAGTCTCTGGTAGTCTTGTGGCACAGCCGCGGTGTTAGTAAATAAAAAAAAAAAAAAAAGAATAACAGGAAATATTTACTCTCTTTGTTATAATCATAGCTTTACACAATATTCATCTCTTTAATACTTTCCGAAGTACCACAAAGTGCAGCTGATATTAAAATAGGAAATGAAATATTTCCAAAAAGCAAAACAATTCAATGGGAAATAACCAAACAAGGCAATCGAAATTTATTGAAATAAAAAACTCTGCCCCACACACAAAAAAAAAATCATGCAACTATCCCACACAGCAAAGTAGTTAATAAAACTTTATATATTTTCTTCTTCTAAACGAGGATATATTGAATCTGATTTCCCTTTATAGAAGAGACGAGCCACAGTGCAACATTGAGTGTAAATAAAACACAAAGTGTGTGTGTGGTTCGAAATGAAAGATAAAGGGGTTGGCACTTTCTTTTGATGGGGACTCCTTGTCTGTTTTTTGTTTCTTTTCTTTATGAGATACAGTCAGGACGGACCTCGGCAAGCGGTCCACCGGACGCCGGCCAAAAAGGAACTTCATCACAGTACTTGGCACCAAGAATGCTGGTAAAAACGAGATATCAGAATATCTTTTTTTTTCCATTCATATCCTTACAATTTATTAATAATACATCATTTACATTTCTGTTTTTCAATTTTTTTTTTGTATAAAAGACTCTAGAAGGAAAAAAGAGTCTAGACATGACCGAGAGAAGGAGGACGTGAAAAAAAAAGAAAAAGAAATGGACTCTGTTGGATGTTGTTTAATAAGAAGAGCTACAAGAGTGGATGCAAGGGCAGGAGGACAGAACGGCGGCGAAAGCGTGGAGAGGAGTCTCTTGATCTGAGGTGGAGGAAAGAGACGGAGATAACGAGAGAGGACCAAAGGAAGCGATGGACGTGAGCGGAGCCAGGGAGGTGTGGATGCGGCGAGCTCTTATGGACGGCCTGGATTCCAGGCCGCGTCCTGCCGAATGGGGGTCAGCTACTTTCTGCGAGGCCTGAAAGGTCAAGTCCCAATCTGGAAATCTGTAGACATTTGCACCCCTATTCCCAAAAAGTAGAAATGTTTCATTGTGTTTAAATTGAATTTCAAATGCGTTGCGGGTCTTTGCGTGCCGCTGCAAGTACAGCTACTGTCTTCTCCTTTTCTCCCTGTAAAGCCTTTTCTTTCTGTTAACTATCAATAAAACCCCCAAACTAAGTAAATCTTAAAAAAATAAAAATAACAAGAAAAAGCTTATGTACTTTTGGCAGAAGTATTTCCACATTGTGGGATTTTTGTGTTACGGACCAACACAAAGTAGCCTCTGTGATACAGTGGAAGGCAAATTGTACATGGTGTTGCATTTCAGAAAAAAAAAAGTCTTAAAGTGTTGCATATGGAGGATAATACACAATACAACCATCAATAGTGATACCGTTCTCACAACTTGTGCTGTTCAACCTGCTGAAGTCAAAACTTTTAACAGTTTTTCCAGTTATTTGGTAATCGAATAATAACCCAGGAATGAACCACAAAAGCTGCTATTAATAATACAAGCTAAAGTCATATTTCACTGCAGCAACTTGTTCCCTAAAGGAGATTGTAGGGAACATGCTGTGTGTCTGTGACTGCGTGCAGAGATTCAATGTAGAAGTACAAATTATTATAATTTTTTATTTTTTAAAAATTTTGACAGGAAAAATCTTTTTTATGCACCGCAGGCATTTTGGATTTTGAGATCAAGACTGGTGAGAAAGATTGGACTTTCCTCTACTCCACTTGTGATTCACTGACTCCTTTTTGTTAATATTTCAAAGTACAAATTTATAAATCATGCACTGCCAAAGACCTAACACAACAAACACATGAAAAATGCAATCGTATTACTGTTTTAAATTTCTGTAAAAGAAATCTGATAAGATTATAATACTAAAAAATGATAATGCTAATGCACGCCTTAATAATGCTCCAAAATAAAGGCGTGTGGCACAAATTGTCAATCCACGGCAAGTCTTAAAAAAAAATTTTTTTCAACACACGTCTTAGATTTTTATAACCATGCATTATTTTCCTTCCACCCACAATTAGGTACTACTTTATGTTGGTCTATCAAATAAAATCTTGATGGAAATCGTTAAAGTTTGAGGTCGTGACAAAACGTGAAAACTATCAAGGGGTGCAGACACTTTTCCAAACCACTGTGAATATTGTAAATGAATCCAAAACAGATTTAGTCGTATGTGGCTGTCACACGTCGGTTCTATTCCAATCTCGGCAGCATATTTCACACTATGCAGCAATCTCTAAAATCACAATGCAGAGACAGCTGCTGGAGCACAGTGCTCTGTATGGGGTGCCAAATCCCCCTTCCAGATTGGGCCTTTTTAAAGCTGCAATTTGTAAGCTTCAAGAAACCAGCGCTTTATGACAGACAGCTTGCTGGGACATATGCTACCTCGCACAAAGCTGTTTGCTACTGTATCATCTTCTCCCTAAATGAATGACAATGTGTGTTTGTACTCTTTTGTTAAACACTGCTCCACACTGACACGAAAGGAAACGCGTGTGCCAAACAACCGAACTCCACGTTTAACGTCTGACTGATTACGACACCTCTTCGAGGGAGCTACGGGCCTAAAGAGGAGTGACCTGGCGACCTTTCCTACGCACCGGATATTCACTGAGCTATTACACAAATAAGTGTGATGACAAGGGTGCTTCCTCGATCCGGTCTTCGATAAGACGTGATCATAGCTTAGAGGTATTTCACCACTTCAAATCTTACAAACTGCAGCTTTGTCTGAGGGCTTAAAGAGGACGAAGATGTGAAGACGGCAAAGAAGGTTGGGGGGGAAAAAAAGTTGAAGTTGGAATGGAGCAGTTTGTGTGGTGCAGCTTGGCGAGCCCAAAGGAGTAGCGGAGCTTGTGCCTGGTCCTATACGCGGGTAGTAGAGTGTTGGTGAGGCAGGGCATTGTTGCTGTGGCTGGGCACAGGTGTTGACGAAGGGGCCGGGACCGGCGGGTAAGTGTTAAATGGGTGGAGCGGTTGGATGCTGCTGATGGTACTGGGGATCATGGTGATGGTGTTGGCGGTCATCAGTGGCACGTCCTCCGGTGCCCGCCTCAGCGCCAGGGTGTAGTCAGGGGGACACACGGGAGGACGAAGCGGCTCCAGGTCACCGTGGAGGGCACGGGAAGGGAGTGGGGTCCCGTGCTCCAGCTCCACCCTCTGCTGCTTCATCTGCAGTGACATCAGCTCCTCCTCCTGACTGAGCGCTAGGTCGTTGTGCGGTGGGGCGCCCACAACTCCCATGCCGACCCCAATGCCCATTGTTGTGCCACGTTGCGGGGAGAGCCGGCGGTGACGCCTCTGCATGAGTTCGTGGCGCTTATCCCGTTTGTAGTAAAGTGCGGCAAAAGCCAGCACGTTCAGGAAGAGAAGCGACGCGCCGACAGCCACTGTCACGCTCAGCTCGGTGGAGTAGTCCCTCGTCTCACTTGGAAAAGGAGTGGGGCGGGGTCTCTCTGAGCTGTCGGGGTCAGGTTCTGACGGGTAGGTGGACACCGGTGGTTTTTGGGGTGAAGAGTTGACGGGGGGAGGCACCTTGCGTCGGCCGGTGCCTCCAGACGGCAGTCGAGTTGTGACTGCGTTTATGAGTTCTTCGTGCAGGCTGTGGAGATGCGGCACAAGCTCAAGCCAAAAAGCAACCTTGTTGGCACGGTAGTTATCTCTGACACGTGGCTTCAGGCCAATATGCAAGTACTGCTTATCTTTGGAGCTGAATTTGGTCCAAATCACCTCCTCGAAACGGTTAGGCTTAGTGTGAATGAATGTTGTGTCCTGAGGAACAGGCAGATTAGGATCCCTGGAACAGAAAAAGAAGAGATTCAAGAGTTGTTTTTTGTGTGTTAGATGACAGTTGCTATCATTTACTGTTTCTAAACAGACGTTCAGTGTTAAAACACAGCGCTCTTTCAAAAAGTTCAAATTCATGCCAGTTTTTTTTGGAGGATATTTTGTTTTGCTGTTATGGAATTCGTGGCTTCCTGAGACATGGACGGACTGCAGAAATCACACACTTTCGTAGCAGTTACCAAGCGTCTGGTGTTGTTCTCGCTGGATATTTGACAACTCTCCTTGACAGAATTGGTAGAGTTCATACAAATTGCATTGTCTTCAGCTACTTGCCTAGCTTCTCACCTTTGTCGATACATTTTTAACAGCACTGACATTTGGGTTATTCCATAAGCTCAATGTTAGCCTTATCAGAAATCGATAAGGGTGCACTCCCACCAGCCCTGTTTAGTCCAGTTCAAGCACATTCTAGTTTGTTTCCCTAGAAATTCACGAGGTGTGAAAGACCCATCGAACTCTGCTGCAATTTCTGTTCCACCTAAAAACATGGGACTCAGTTAGGCTGAAGTGAACTCTGGTGCAATTCAAATGCATATGTGAATGCAAATTGACCCGACAAAGCTCCAAAAGCAACAGGTTGAATGTAGTGCAGGGTTTTCTGGTTAAATACAACCAAAATAAACATTTCTCACACTTGGGGAAGAAATGACTCATAATCTTTCATGAACAAACAAACAAAAAAAAAAATCAAACCATTACAATCTCACACCACTTTCATTTACATTTCATAAGGAGGTGAAATGTGCTCCAAAAAAATCTGTTTTAATATTTTGTATTTGGGCTTAAGACCTGATTGAGAACTAATTAGACACAAAGATATCAATATGTTATAAATCTCTGAGTAACGCAGTAAGCGGTAGCAGATCTGATCATGCATGCCTGGTTCTGACAAGAATCTTAACAGAAGCTCCTGATTATGTGCCTGTACATCCATGATGTCATTAGCTGTAGTCCTGCCACGCGATTGACTGATTAAAGTGTTACACAAATGAAATGCTCAGAATTCGAACAAGACTTGACTTCAAAGGAAAGTGCCGCAAAGTGTTATCTGCATAATTATGAAGTATTCCAGGAAACAGCTGTCCCACGCTTTTTAGGGTATCGAGTACATCAATGCTTGTTCGTGTTGGCATGTGTTGCCAAAGTGATTAGAAAGAAACGAACGGCATGGGAAAAGTCGATTATATATATATATTAAAAAAAAAATTAGTGGGAAACATGAATAAAATCCAGAGTTAATGCGAAGTGTTTAATCATAAAGAGGTTCTCTTCCTCATGAGATCCAACAGAATATCAGTTTTGCAGCTAAGCTCATCTTCCACTGACATCACATTAGTGTAACACGCAGCACCATTCATAAGTATTAGCACCTAAATTTAAAGTGGGAGCAGCAAAATAAGTTTCAAACAACTGGAAATGCAAACAAAAACCTCAATGAAGGTTGATGTGTTTTCTATCATTAAGCATGTTAAGGGACTTCATGAAGACGATGATAAAAACATCTCCAAAACTTGCTCTTGCAAAGAGTTTAATATTTTGGGTAAAAAGAAAATCTCCAAAACCAGTGACCTGTGACCAAATCTTCACAGAAATGATTCCGAAACATCTGATGAGTGATTTTATTGCCCTGACTCTTTCCACACCTTCACAGGGTTAGTCAATAAGCTATAAACGTGGTATTATGTACCTCGATCTTTCTACATTTCGGTCTTTTACCTACCCTGTCTTTGCGAAGTTGGTCCAGTAGGTCATGACCACCGCGCTGAGCATTATGTCGTTCTTGGAGAAGTTACAGGGGAAAAGATCAGTGGCTCCCACCATGGGAATCCCGAACACATACGGGATCTCGTCTCCGTGAGCGGCGTCCGCCCAGTCCGGCCGTGCCTCCGTCTGACAGTGGTGGTGAAACGTGTAGAAGTAGACGGGCGACTGGAACTCTGCATGAAGCTTGGCCGTGGCGACGGCCGGGGCCACCCACTGGTGGTCTGTGAACAAAGCCAGCAGGGTCTTCCTGCGCATGTCGCTGTTGTCCCTGTCGGCCCAGTCTGTGTACATGAACTTTATGGTCTCCCTTAGGATATCTTTACCTTGGCAAAAAAACAAAATTAATTCGATGTAAGCAATCATGTAATACAGCTGTAACAACATGTTTCTCATTGTAAAATGGAGGTAGATAAATCATAATAAGGAAAAGTATCAAATATGCAGTAAATGTATTGATCTGAAATAGCTTGTTAAAGGGTGAGGATTGTGAACAAAACACTGGAAGACTGTGGTGAAGTTTGCTCGAAAGTTGAAACAATAGGCAGGAGAAAAACTTTTCTTTTTAAAAAAGTTGGTGGCAGTACAGCGCTGGATTGAAACAAACCACAAAACTTATGAAAACATTTATTTTGCTGTGACAGGAATAGAGTCGAGACATTTGGGAACCATCCAGCCTATTAAAAGTTAAACACGGTGGTGGATAGTTGATGATTTGAGCTTACTTTGCAAAATATAACTCTCTGTATTTCCTAACATTAAATGTCAGGCCATCTGTTCAGTAGCAAAATTGGGCGATTCAATCCAGAAATGCCAACTTTAACAGCATCAGTCTTTTAACATTGTCAATTGGGGTTAATAAATCTGGCTTCGAGTGTGTGTGATACTCGTTTAAGGGTACTGCTGTTGCTGATCTGATTAGTTTTCTGAAGCGTTTCCAAACATCACTTGTTGTTTGAAGCTGCTCTAAAAAATTCAGCCCAAAAATATTTTTTATTGGCACTACAATAAAAAAATATTTTATTGCAGTAAATAAAATATTACTGCACCAATATTTTATTGCCATAATAATATATCATTGCAGTAAAAATATATCATTGCAGTAAAAGATGTATTCCATCCATCCATCCATCCATCCATCCATCCATCCATCCATCCATCCATCCATCCATCCATCCATCCATCCATCCATCCATCCATCCATCCATCCATCCATCCATCCATCCATCCATCCATCCATCCATCATTTTATTTCATTTTGGATCGCAAGAGCTGGCATTTTACACACATAACCCTCACTTCAAGACTCGCATTTTTGTTGACGTGTTGATATTGTTGTAGGCACAAATTTTAAAAAAGGCGCATTGTGACAAAATTAAGCAAGAAAACTGACTTCTTCGGAAGAAAAAATGTAGAGATGAATTAAAACACTTGAATACTTAGCAGAATAAGCACCAGCTCTAGAACCACTGGGGAAGAGAAAGTTAACAAAAGGACAATGATCTCAAGGACTAAAGCAAATCTCCTGCAGAATATCTGAAAAAGAACGGATACTACGACGACGAGCTATATGGAGGTGAACAAAAACAACTGATCTTGGGAAATGTTATTGGAGTCAACATTTCTCTGATTGTGAGAGACTGATAAGATGCTGCTTAAGAAAATGCATTCAAATTATTTATGCTAACATATGACAAGTTTTTTTTATAGATCTCTGCATTTTGATTTTAATATTTGGAATGAAAAAACTGCAGAACTGTGGAAAAGAGACAGATATCAGCGTGGAACTAGTTAGTCGCGATAAAGCAAGAGAGATTGTGATCTGACCATCAGGGTATCCATATAGATTGTCCACAAAGTTTGAAATCGTGTAGTCGAACGAAGCTGCGGAGATCCCGTCTTCTCCTTCACTGTCATCCACAAACTTCAGGCCTTCTCCCTGGTTGACGCCCAGCAGTATGTCATAGTTGAGGAACTCACCCTGAAGAACACAGGACAGTGATCTAAATACACAAATTGTAAAAGGAATGGCAAGAATCTGCCACGGTTCTGTAGGATCCTTCCAGACATTAGGAAGTCATCATCAACCTGCTGCATGAGGATCTCCGGGTCGTCCGGCACCACGTCCCCGTCCACCACGGGCCCGAAGGCGATGTGGTAGCGGGCGGGCTGAATGTCTTGGTCCACCAGCTCCCGGAAACTCTTCCGCCGCAGACAGTCCACCAGCTCTGCCATGTCCCCCAGGGTGCAGCCCACCTTCTTGGCCAGAATCTTGGTGTAGGGCAGAGGTCGGTAGTTGACCGACCAGCTGGAGATGGCTGAGCCGCTCTGAGCGATGGCCCTCTGGAACAGGCCTGCACAAAACAAAACCAGAGATTAATACACATGCAACATGTATGCTCTCCTGAGTAGCATTTTTTTCCCCTTCCATTTGTTTGGCAACTAAGAAGGCCTTTAAGTCCTTCCAGTGTGAGTGCTTTAAATAATGCATATCCTGGAGAAGGAACAATTGAAGGCTATAATGTACAAAGCGTGCTGAGAAGCTTCACATGCTGCTTTTAACAGCTGGAGAAGATCATTATGAACATTAGTGAGAAAAAAAATGGAGTGTTTTCCATGACATGCAGCAAGAGTCGGCAGCGAGAAAAACAGTGACGAACTCCGTACCCAGCTGTGGGCCGGTTGGATGAAGCGAGAAAGACTGAAAAGGCAGCGAGAACTCCTCGCACTGTTGCACCGATGCACTGTTATGTAAAAAGACTTGCTGTCCCTCTGTTTTATCTGCAGATTCTGTCATTAATAATTAAGCCCCCCCACCCCCCTTCACCCCACCCTCATATTCTGCATGTGCCCCACCCCCGCTCCTCTCCCTGTGAAATCAATTAAGGAAGAATCTCAGCTGCAGCTCCAACCCCGCTCCTTTATCTCGTCTCTCCTCTGCAAACACGTAACATGCTGTACTTTAAAAAAAAAAAAAGAACGAGAAAAACTCTCTGCTGCACTCTGCTCTGTTACAGCTGACGTTCAAACGAGCAAATTCATGCGGTACTCCTTTCATTTGTTTGTGCAAAGCAAGAACTGTAAAAAAATAAAATAAAATAAAAAATTGGCGCTGCTGTTTTCCAAAACTACTCAGGTTTAAGGTAAATCATCACTGACACTTTGACATGAAAAAACAAACCTGAGCTCGCAAAAGTGTGTCTACGTGAACGCTCGCAGAAGTTTCTCAAGCAACAGCTTTCATCTTTACTGAACGTGATCAGGATTTTATGTGACAGACGAAGAAAGTAATCCATACTTGTAAAGTAAAAGCAAATATAACTGTCAGTTTGACAAAACTAAAAATCCTTTTTAAAAGAAATGCTACATTCATTGATATTCAGCCCTCTTCTACTCTGATTCCACTCAATACAATTAAGGGGAAAAATGTTTGTAAGAGCCACAGTGGTGTAAATTCACAGACCGCAGGTCTAAAGTTTTAAATTTTACGTGACAGCAAAGATGTGGAAAAACAACAATGTACATCATCCTGAACGCGCCATCCTTACTGTTAGACCAGATGGTGGCAGCATCATGCTGTAGGAAGGCCTTTTCTGAAAGGAGGCTGGTCAAAGTTGATGGGAAGATAAATGGAGTTAAATTCAAGGCAAAACAAAAAATAACTAGTTAGAAGCAGCTAAAGACTTGAGATTGCAGTGAATGTTCACAATCCCAAACAACCAGAGCTACAATCGTATTTTTTTTAAAGATTATTGTGAGCATTCCTTCCCTCTTGATCGCGCAGAGGACTCGCTTCGTTTTGCAGATAAATTTTATTAATCTGTCCTGGGTCACTGACTCAGTGTGAAGGTTAACAGTGAAGTAATAATCTGAAAGTTTAGAGCAACATTCTCTCTCTCTCTCTCTGACTCTCAGCTCCAGCAAACACTGTCACATGAGAGGATTAGTGGACAAACATCTGGTGGGAATTTCAGAAATGAGAAGCTGTCAGTTTCATTCCCTAAATTTCATCCATCCATTTCAAGAGTATAAATTTACTCAACAAAACCCAGTTTTATAGTTTATTTTAGGCCGTTCATAGACAAGTAATAGCACGGAGAGAAATGATGCTTTACTTTGTGATTGCCGGCTCACTTCTCTGAATAACACAACTCAAAGTGGACCGAGCGCTAGAAAGAATTTATTTTATTTTATTTTTTTGTGAAGTTTGTCTTTTTGAATGGACTTATTCCTCAACTTGGAGCCACATAGTGCAAAAATGACGGGTTACTATTTTCACTTTTCAACTTTTGGTTGGAACAAAATAGTTTCAGCTACAACTTTCTATTACAATAAAACATAAAATCTATTGTGGAGGAGAAGTAGTTACCGATAACCAAGCTGAACGTCCTTCATCCTGAGTGATACAAGGACGCTGTGTTGGATATGGGTTGAAACCCAAAGTACCAATGAAACTAGTGGATACTCCGACCTTCCATCTGACAATAAAAGTTTAGATGTCACATGTTTTATGGGTTACCAAGGAGATTGAATGTAATTTGTTGGACTGACATTGCTGACCAAGTAATTTCCTGCAGCTGTTACAGACACTTCTCCCCTCTCTGGGTATCTGATTACCTAATAACTCAAAGGAAGATTGTGCTTCATCAGTTTATGAAATAAGAAACTTTATTTCAGTCCATCATATACTGTGTATCTTCTAACCTTCTGTTTCATTAGCCAATAAAGTGCACTCATTTAAAGAATTTGCACTTGAGTCCTGCACGCTCAGTGTACAGAGTAATAAACAGCTTTGAGAAAACAAAACAAAAAAAACTTAAGACCACTGCAGAAAATTCTCAAAAGTTGTATGTTTATAGTAACCATTGTGCCCCAGAGTCCAACACAAACACACATCATTCCCCTTATTGAGCCCAACACCAATCAGTCTTACTCAACCAAATAGTCTGAAAGCTGTTTTACCTATTTTATTAAACATTGCTTTTTTAATTATTTAGCTCACATGTGTCCAACTCAAGGCCTGGGAGCCAAATGTGGCCCGCTGTAGCTTTTTATGTGGCTCTCTCGTCTAGAGCCTCAATAATTCCCTCCAGCTTTTCACAAATCTGCAAAATTCACACAAAATCAACAGATCCCCATATTCTTTTTGTGATTTCATTTCTCCCTCAGATTTGGCCGAAAACATTGGATTTAAGTGACTGCTCCCCCAGTATTATTTGATGTGAAGTTATAGTCTGTGACCAACACAGCGATGAATAAAAAGTGGATGGATTTTTTTTTTATTGTTTAATCAATGTGAAAAGATATAGAATATTGTTTCATTTTAAGAAGCACTCACTGAATGCGGAAAAAGCTATTTATTAATATTTTTTAGCAATTTTACGGGTTTTATCAGTACATTCTTGACACCCCTGATTTAGGTCGATAGTGATACTTTGCAAATATGTGATTCCATTAAAAATATTTGTATTGTTTGGATTTGGGAGAAACGTACTTTATAGAAATACCCACAAAATGTTCATCCTCCTCATATGCATAAATTTAAATGTAAAATCAAAGAGTTTTAGATGAAATGTGAAATTACTTCTTACCTTTAAAATGATTACAAGAAAGCCTGCCTACTTAGAAGCAACTAAAATAAAAGGAAAAATTGAACCGGATTGCGTCTTGAACTAAGTGATTCTTTTGAGTGAACTCATAAAAGTTTCAGATTTTGGCTTCAAAAACCTCATGTGTCTGTTTGTTAGAGAAGAGATAAAACCAGAACTCCTGAGTGTAAACGCCCCATCACGAAGCTCTCGGGAGCAACAGAGACGACTTACGGGTGTTTTGGTCCGCAGCCGAACTCAGTCACGTTGAGCCGACATGGATATCGTTTTATTCAGCTGCATTATGTTTTCAGATTAATTATTTATCAGGCAGCATATATGACGACGACTCCCAGTTGGAGATTGAAGGGAAGCCCGGCATCTGAGTCATGTCATGGGTCAGATGCATTCAGAGCTTGTTTGGGTTCAGGATGAACAAAGTGTTGCAAAGAATAGATTCATTCAAAATATGTGTCAGCAAATTGAATTTAAAGGAAGTAAAGGCTATTTTGCCTACTTCCTCTACGGGAAGTAATCACAGTGATGATCTCAACTACATATTTGTCTTTGTTGTGTTTTCTTCTCATGCTATCTAGTTATGGTGGCTGTGTGTGTGTTTATTTGTGTGAGCTTGTGACTCCCTTGCTAAAAGAGCAGAGCTATAGCTTCTCTTCCACGGAATAAAACGGATGAGATTGAACTGCAGATTGGTCTGTTTAATCTGAAAAGGGGAGAACTTTAGCTGTTCAGCAAAACTTGAAAATCATTTTTAGATATCTTAGATGCTTACAAGAAGAAAAAAAAATAAAGTTTATACATGTTGATCTTTTTTATGTGCAGATGTCACTGACTAGACCAATACAGAATGATGCATAATTTCTACTTTGTTGAGCAAATAAAAAAAAACCCCTGAAACGAGCGAGGTTTGAACTTACAGGACAAATGGCTGCCTCTTTGAGCCACTGCCTTTCTCCCAGGGCTTCGTTTAATGACTGGAATATTTAAAGAGCGCCACATAACTGCAAACCAACGGAGACATGGTCTTCTGTCTAAGCTAACTGGAAAGCTTAGACTGGGGAGGAAGGAGCGCCAAGAGGCCTATGGTAACTTTGGAGAGTTGTAGAAATTAGGCGGGAAAGCCTGTTGCAAGGACAACTTTCAATCACACACTCCACAAAGCTAGCTTTTATGGATGAGTACCAGTGAGAGAATGTTCTATTTGCAGTTTATCACGGGCCATCAAAAGGACAAGCCAAACATGCGCTACAAGGTGCCCTTCTCGGATGCGACCAAAGAGAACTGCACATGGCAGAGAAGTAGCAACACATCACCCTGCGTTTTATTTTGTTTTTATTGCACTATCCAGCTTCCCTGTTTTCTCTCGATGCACTTCTCGTCTTTAACTTCTTGTTCTCGTTCGGCATCCTTGAGTGACTACAAAAGGCGCCTAAAAATAAAACGAGTTATTATTAGCACATCAAAGCGGTCCGGTCTAAGTCTAGGCCCAAATTTATTTGAGGGTCTGTGGCGAGATCTGAACACTGACCGTACATCTCCGCAATCTGACTGATCTGTGGGGTATTTGTTGAAACGACGAGCTGACGAAACGCTCAGTTTGTGAACGTGCAAAGCAGGGAGAGACACACACCCAAAAATATCTCCAGCTGTCACTGCAGCAAAAAAAAAAAAAAAGAAAAAGGAAAAGGTTTGACACAGGAGCGGTGGGGCTGACAGTAAAACACTATCCGGGGGAAAAATCACATCCATTTTATTCCATTGACAAATATGTTGATCGGTTGTACGCCGGACGATAAATAAAACAATTACGACACCCAGAAATGAAACCCTCTTCCAAAACGCTAATGTCCTTTGACGAGCGGCATGGCCGCGATGCTAAAAGAAATTTACCCTCAGAATGATGGGACAGGATGAGAAGGTTTACACAGGCAGCACCGGCTCCGGAGCCAAAGATCGTGATTCTCTCTGGGTCTCCTCCAAAGTGCTCAATGTTTTCATTGAGCCAGCGCAGAGCTTGGATCTGGTCCAGCAAACCATAGTTCCCCTTAGCAGATTGGTCCCCCGTGCTCAGAAATCCTGCAGGGTAAACAAGAAGAAACAGAGACAGAAGACGCAGGTTACGCGTGAATTGAGGAGTGTGTTGGAAATTCAGTCACACAAGTTAGACAAATTTTTGTATTATTTTTTTTCACTTTCTGAATGATCCCACAGAAGCAGGAGGCTGCGCCTGTCATTTTCATGGACAACGACGCCCCTGCCTCTCTGAAGAGACTTCACACAAAAAAACCTTGCGAAATTACCAAATTTCTCTGGAAACACGACACAGTTTGAAATGAAAATATATATGTTAGCAGTGAGGGGAGGAGAGACACGGGAGGCGTGTTTCACCTTCTTCCTGGGCACACATTTACGCAGCAGGTGCACGCCCACAACAAGAGAAAAATAAACCGAATATAATGCGAGCCGCGCACACAAACAGAATGCCTCGTTCTTTTCCCGACTACATTACAGTACTTTGCATTGGTTCAAAGTTATTTTGCCCATGCAGTGACAAATGTGGCGTTATTTTTTTTTCCTCCAAAGCCTATTATTATTCTCTGACAGTAGCACATGGAAAATGATTTCTCTAAACTGGATGGGAATTCTCCTCAGAGCGGTTGCGGCAATAATGAGAAGACACCATGTTTGATTTGGCCACTTCCTGTCCTGGCATTTGCTGATGAGCTGCACTAATTGTGCCACTTCCTGTGAGGGTCTTCGTTCTCACAGCTTTGACCATGACTGATGCCAGGGGCAAGCGAAGTGACACAAGGTTTTAGCTTCGATTTGGACCTAATATATCATCACAAATAGCACGGCGAGTCCTCATCTTCATTATGTGAGGCAAGAGTAATCTGGTCATGATTTAAGGGGTAATATGAATTTATGTCAATTCAGTCGGTGGCCTTGGGTGCATGGCTAATGATGTCCCAACGGTTTTCGTCCTGCCAACGGCTTACTGTGATAGCTTTCATTACTCAACGCTTCCACCACAATGTTAACAGAATTATCAATCGGAATACATTTATGTTGTTGTTTTACATCCATTAGTTATTGTTAAAATATAGATAAATATAATTTATCAACGTTCCTTATTCATAAAACCGTGATCAACTGTGAGTCAAAAAATCACTCTAATAGTAACGGCCAAACAACACAAATTAAATTATATATATATATATATATATATATATATATATATATATATATATATATATATATTATATATATATATATATATATATATATATATATATATATATATATATATATATAACTACAGGTTCAAATTCATCACATGCTCTACAACAGAATATCCATCAAGTGTCAGTTTTTGACGATCACCCCTATAAAGAATTGGGTTGTATGCAGCAGGAAAACGATCCAAAGCATGACAGCAACTCCACCTCTCAGTGGCTCCAAAGGGTGTTTAGGACAGGTCTAGTCAAAGCCCAGACTCAAATCTGATTTGAGATGTTCCGGCAATACCTTACGTTTGGACAACTTTTTCCACTTGATTAAAGAAATCATCAAAACAATTACCTGTTACAAATCCAGCATGACATAATAAAGTCAAGTTAGCATTTTTACTACCACACAGACTTATACTGTGTGTCAGGAGTTTGTCCCTGTTGAAGGCAGCTGCATAACATTTGGAGTGTTTAAAACCTGAAAGTGCCGTGATCCGTTTGCAGATGAATTTCATCGTCTTGGAAGATTCATTTAGTTACAAAATATAATAAATGAAAATTCCATTTAAATTTATTGGCAAACTCCAATTTTATGAACAAATGTTATTCTCACAGCCTGCCTGAGCTCATTTTTGGGGGTCTCAGCATTTAACCTAAGCCCACTGATGGTTTCCATGACTCAGGGGTAAAATTAGGCTCCTTTTTATTAATCATATAATCATCTGTTTCTGTATATTTAAGGCAATTTAATGAAAGCACATTGATTGTCAAACTCTCCGCTTGACGCTGTAGGAAGAAGGCTGATATCATCGCTTCCATTTTTAAAGAGATGAAAACATAATTGATTTATAAGCTAACAGCAGACTGGTGCCATGAGCATAATGCCAAAAATACATAGTTGCTTAACATGTGTAAAAAAAAAAAAAATCTAAAAAAACAGGACTCATGAGTCAGAGCTGTATAAATATAACTGTAAGAGCATGCACATGTGTGGGAGTGTGCAAAACTGATAACAATTATAAATAGTGTTTCTTTGACACTGACCAGTTGGTGTTGGCTTGATCTCTGCCTCATTCTAGGGGTGTCAGTTTTTCACTTGTTCCATTTTATAAATTAAATCAAATCAGAAATATGTGTTCCTGGAAAAACTACAACTAAAATGTTCTTTATGTTTAATAGTCAAACTGTTGGTGCGTTTGTGCTGCTGGCCGTCTTGTCAGACAAGCAACTCTTCAGTCTCACAAGCTGCGGCTTGTTTGTTAGGTGGTAATATATCTAGCAGACGTTGAGGCCTCCCCCCCATGTCTTCTGGATTTTCTGACCAAGAAGATCAGGCCGACTTGTGTTAAACGCGCTGGAGAAATCAGAGCTTCCTTTGCCCAGAGGATGGCTGGTTTTTGAAAAAATATGTATGATGGCGTCTTCAACTGTAAATCAGTAGCAGTGAGAAAAATGTTTATGTCTAACCAGTCAAACACAAGTCTCATTCACAATGTAGAACATCAGGCAACAAGTGGATGATGACGAAGATGAGTTTTCCAGTTGTCCGCTTGGTTTAATGGAACACCATTTATATAGTATGCGCAAATGTCTGACTTCAAAAAAAAGCTTTTTATAATGAATCTCTCACTGTTCTAGTATTTAGCAAAGAGAATAGAATAAACAGCTCGTTTCTAAGACGCACATACACTTCTGTCTGCGCTCGGAGTGTTTTATTAAACGTAACGCCGGTTACAACTCGGTTTGAAACCTTAAATAAAACATAATGAAAAAGAAAAAATTACATGCCTCCTCCCTAGTGCAGTTTTCTTGTTTGGGAATTAGGGATGACACAGATAGCTCAAGTGACTGAATTAAACAGTATGTTCTAAAGGGCAGTTGAAAAAAAAAAGTAGGACAACAGGAGAGTACAGTACACAGGCACAGATGGTTCAATCAGCATGCTTGAATGACAAAGGAAGAGCAGCAGGAAGTGGGTTTTATTATTAATGATTATTGTAAGTGATGATGGTGGGAATGTTTAGTCCTGATGGGCTAAACATTTTATTTCTCCTTCTTTTTTTTTTCTCCCCTTCCCGCCATTTCATCGTTTTAACCCTGAACAAGTTTGATTAATCTGGTCACACATTAATCAAATACATCCTTTTTATTTTTTCAAAAGTCCTTTACGTTTTAATTGTCAAGAAAGCGGCTGTTCTTTTAATATCTTGCAAATTTGCTAAGTAGAAAATCTGCAGTGATTCAGCAATGTCCTCAACCAAAATGATAACGAGGCAGCGATCAGGAATAAAAAAAAAACCCCACAAAAAACAAAAAACAAAACAACCAAACAAAGCATGATTAAATTGGGATGAAGAGATAATAGGACCACCTAATTCATGAAAAACCACAGCTGCTTCCAGCTTTCCACGAAGCCCTGCGTAGCTTCGTTGAATAGGCTGTTCAAAAATAGAAATCTCTCCTTACTTCTGATCATATCACTGTTGCTGCTGGAACATAAGGAGCAATCCGCGCAATTAAGATATTGTTTACACTCTCCCACTTTACAGGCTCGTTGTCAGATCCCAGCAATCGTCTGGCTTGACTCTGACCTGGTCGTGCATCAGCGCCGACCCCTGCTACTTATCAAAACCACGAGCAATACGAGCGTCTGCTGCCCAGTCGAGTGCTGAGCAGCATGCCACAGTTGCCTGGCAACTGTCCAGGGCTTCTGGCAAAATTATATGGACGGACACTCACAAAAGCACTTGCATGCACATATCCGAGTGCTTCCCCGCTCAAGTACACAGCAGCTGCATGAACTCGGAGGGGAATGTCAGAGTTAGCTACTGGGTCTGGAAGCTAGCTTGTTAGCTGCAGCTATCACTGCTTGCTTTACATGTTTGCTTTCTCTTCAATGGACCCCCCCCCCCCAGCCCACAGCCTCCCCTCGCCACCACCGTGCTCTTCCCTCTTTCTCTTACAATAAGTTTTCTTTCTGATCCCACCCCACCCCCTTCTGCTGAGCTGGTCTTCCTCCTGACTTTAGCGCTGAGAGCAGCAGTTTGCGAGGCTGAGCTCATGCATATTCAACTCTTGCTTTAGGTGAGAGCAAAGGAACCGTGTGAGAAGAGTCATCAGCCTGAAAGTAAAGACACAGGTTGAGGAAAAAGCGATGAATCTCCGAGGGAACACAGGAGTAAGCGAGCAAGTGAAGGAGGGGGTTTTTAAAGCTGGGATGTTGACCAAAATGATGCGATAATTCTGAGCCTAAAGAGTTTTATGACGTTGTGGCACTTGAGGCAAAAAACATCTATTCCAAGCGCGGGTAGAGTAAGACATAATCTTCATAATTACACACATAATGTTTAGTAAACTAAGCAAAAACACAAGAAAATTTAAATTGGAAATGTTTTTGATTCTGGTCTTAGATGATTTTCTGTTTTACTGGCACTCACCTATGGACAGATATAAAGTTGTGGACAGTGTTGAGAAACGAGATATTTTCTACCTTTTGCTAGTTGTTATCTCGTCTCCCCAGATCCATTACATCTAGCATAATTAAACTAATATTTCCAAAAGTAGAAAAAAAAGAAAAACTGATCAGTTTTCTTTTTTTTCTAAGCCACTTAACCTAAATAGAAGAGCAATGTTAGCAGGTCAATTCTTTTCCGGGCTACTTTTGATTTGGAAATGTTTTTGGTTGACGTTTGCTAAAGTATTTCACAGGGAAAAGCAACAGAGATTGCTAATTGCAGTTAGCAATGCTAACCTATCATGCTAAATGCTAATATAAAAACTACAGAGCTGTGTAACATGCTCACTTCCAAAACATGGCATAATGTCGCCTTTGCTCCAAATGTCAAT